AGATCTGTCATAGTAATTCAGGTATTTTAATTTCCTGCCGGTCTAAAATTGGTAAGAGCTAGTCCTAATTAGGCTATAAAACCATTAAAATCAGGCATCCGGCTGTTGGCCGCTATACACCTTCGTATCGGACAGATAGTTTGTATCCAAGTTTCAGTTGTTATTCCGCTTTAAAAAATGTCGAGATGAGAAAGGACATACCGGAGTTACTATTCACATAGGTAACTCTAAGAGTAATGTTGTAAGGATATGACAGGGACCCAGCGAATGCGGAAACCCACCTGTGCAAGCAATGGCGAGCCATGTGTATACTGGAAGATGGCAACTAGCCTTGCATCAAAAACCATTGGCCCTTTCTAATGTTATACAAGTAGTACTTGGCACAGAAGGAGTTCTTGGACGCGTGGACGGAGGTCTTGTGTCACCTGTCGACATTTATCTGCCCCGGTGGGTTACCTGTCAAGTCACAATGGAAGGAACGAGCTCAGAGGAAAGAGCGAAGGACTCACCTCCCAGTCAATTGCGCCATCGCACAATCCAGAATCTGTCTACTCACTCTGCTTTCTCTCTCCTCCCTACTTTCTTCCTCATTCTTCTTTTCACCCGTTTTGTTTCCCATCTAAAGCGACACGAACAGTAGAACTCATCAATCTTTTATCATCATACGAGATTCCAATCATGCCTGACCCACCTCCAAAGGGTAAGGGTATTGCAGTATCTGATCCAGAGCCGATCGATGAGAAAGTTGTCACGGCTCTGGTAAAGGATGAGGCCCAAGTCAATGGCAACGAGTTATTTGCTGAAAATGACCGTGGCTCTGAAGATCTTGTGATTGTCACTGGAGCTGATGTGGCTGCTCATCTTTTGCCTTTGCGCGATGACTTGGACCCTACTTTGACATTTCGCGCTGCTATCCTGGGATCCGGCCTCGCGGCCTTTCTGGCTGTCATGACCCAGATCTACAGTGTAGGCGAACTCGCATATCATCTCATTCTTCATTCCCACAGCACTGCTAATGAATATACTTCTAGTTCAAACCAACCCAAGTCAATGTCTCAGGCGTTTTCCTTGTTCTTGTTTCCTACTTTTTCGGTACCACCTGGGCCAGATTCCTCCCCCGAGGTGACAAGTTTGAGGCGAGATGGAGGGCACGAGGTGAGCAGGGCAGACTGCCTTGGTGGATTACTGTCATCAAGTTTGTGAATCCTGGGCCTTTCGGTCTCAAGGAGCATTCGATCTGTGTGATCACTGCTACAGCAGCCGGGTACGTCACGGATGCGACGACTGTATTCGCGGCACAAAAGTTGTTCTACAATCTTCCTTTGAGTCCCGCAACGGTCATTCTCGGCATTATCTCTATCGGCCTCTTTGGATGTGGCCTCTGTGGGTTCATGCGGCCTTTTGCTGTCTGGGATGTCGAGGCTGTCTACTGGGGTACGCTGCCTGTTGTGAAATCCATCCAAGGGCTTCACTGGGACACGGTCGAAAACTCCAAGCCACTGAAATACTTCTGGTATGCCTTCACGGGTATGTCTCTTTACGAGATATTTCCCGCATACATCTTTCCATGGCTCAACTCCGTGTCTATTCCGGTATGTATTCTATCTTTTAGCAACGTTACTTGCGCCGTACCTGACTAGACCCCGAATGTCTAGTGTCTGGCTTCACAAAAAGCAACTGGTAAGAAGGGTGCCATACTCACCAACATTTTCGGTGGTGCCACTTCTAACGAAGGCCTCGGTCTCTTCTCTTTGTCCTTCGACTGGCAATATGTGAGTTGGGGTATTACGCCCCAGTGATACTTTATATTAACCAATGAGACTGGTCAATACAGATCGGGTCAATTTCAACTGCTATTCCTCTAAAGCTGATACTTCATACCACCCTGGGAGCTGGCATCAGCGCCATGATAATGATTGGCATCTATTACGGAAATGGCTGGGGCTCGAGATCACTGCCTTTTATGGCGAGTAACCTTCTTATGGCCAATGGAACAACTTATCCCGTGAAAGAGGTGTTTCCTGGTGGCTTGCTCGACAAATCAGTCATTGAAAAATATGGATTGCCTCAGATCACCGGGGCCTTTGCATTTGGTCTGTTCACGGCCAATGCCGCAGTGAGTACAATACTTCTATCCCGAACCACTTGCTAAGCATTACCTAGATTGGCGCCCTCATTCTCCACTGTATCCTTTTCTGGGGCAAGGGCATTTGGAGGGTATGTCAACAAGCAAGGGAAGGTAAGCATAATGACCCACACCACACCTACATGGCAAAGCACTATAAGGACACTCCGTGGTGGTGCTTCGCTGGCATTCTCGTCGTCAGCTTTGTCCTTGGCCTTGTAGTGGTGATCAAAGAGAATATCACTCTTCCAGCCTGGGCATACGTTGTCTCGCTAGCACTAGGAGTTTTCATTACGCCTTTTGTGAGTATTCTCGAACACGAAATTTTACAATGCTAATATTATGATCCAGAGCACTATCCTCTTCGCTCGCTTCGGCAACGGCATTGCCACTAACAACCTGTCGAAAATGCTGGCTGGGCTCATGCTTCCCGGACGCCCAGTCGGTAACATGTATTTCGCTGCTTGGTCGCACAATATTGTCATGTCTTCCGTCTCCGTGTCCAACGACCTAAAGTTCGGCGAATACATGAAAATACCCCCGAGGATCATGCTTTGGACCCAAATGTATGGCATCATACTTGGCGGATTCATTAACTATGCTATCTTGACTTCCGTCATTTCAGCCAACAGGGACCTTCTTGCCGAGGGTAACGGAAACTCCTCCTGGAGTGGTGCGACCATGCAGGCTTTCAACACTAAGGCAGCCTCCTGGGCCTTGGCCCCTTACTTGTACAAGCTCGGTGCCAAGTATGAGGTGATTCCTATTGCCGTAGCCGTTGGTGCTGCTGCAGTAATTGTTCATCGGGTTTTCTATCAGGTCAGCAAACCTCAAGCAGACCAAGATTGTTCAACTAGTTCATGCTGACACCATTTTACGTTAGTTCGTTCCCAAAATCGGACGGTTTGATGTTTCAGAAGTGAACCTACCACAACTCATCCAGTATGCCGGTTCTTATACATCCCAGACACAAACCTGCACTGTTCTCAGTGGGCTACTCTGTGGCTTGTTTACCCAAGGCTACCTTCGGAACTACCACCCACGCATTTACAAAGATTACTCATACGTTATTGCTGGGGCCTTCGACGCCGGAAGTCTGTTGGTTATCTTCATTCTCTCTTTCGCCGTCTACGGAGCGGGTGGGCCATCCCATCCATTCCCAACGTGGTGGGGAAACAACCAAAATGGACACCTTGACTGGTGTCCTGTTTCGAAGAAATGACAACGGGCACAAAGTCGGTCTCAGATAATGGCGCATGACGGTCGATCAGAGTCATGAAATGTCTTGAGCGCAAATCTTTTTTTTCCAGCGCCTTCAAACATTTGTTGTCCCCCTGGAAGGTTGATGGTGACAACCTTTCGGTAATTGGATCTGTAATGGATCCTTAGTTTTAACATAATTTTCGCAACGGTTATGAATTTAGCCTAGATGAACAATCTAATCGTTGCAATTATTTTTCCTCGTCTATATTGGGTCGTATATATAAAGTATTCCTCATGGTAGACGTAGCGATATAGATGATAGGTGCTTTTTCGGGTCTTATTGATCCCTGAATGCCCGATTGTTTCCTAAAAGGATTGGCAAGATATCTGAATTGCTATCAGAGAGGCTTAATATTCAAGGTACCTTACCTACCTCAAAATGAAGCTTTTGACACCATACAAATTTATGTATCGCGACCTTTTATGTGGTTTACTCGCCATATCATCACATTCTTCTTCCAAGATTAGATGTACAGTCGGAAAAGGCGGGAGAGGCCTTAATTTAAAGGTAATTGCCAAAACGAGATAAGCATCGGCGGCCATATTTAAGCGATGCCGAAGAACCAATTACACCATTGAAGACATTAATCCAGATGGCGTGTCTAAATTTCCGAATGATGCAACTCGCTTGGACCCCGCCTCTAGAGCTACCCCAACATGTCTGAGTGTTATCTAACAAATGACAAGTCATTACGAATACAATATTGAATTAGTACCAACGCTAATTGTCCAATACAGACGTTCTGCTAGAGCTAGGTCGCTTATTTTGCGATTGTCTTATTCATGCCTGCGGTCACAACATAACAACTCTTCCTAATGCATAATTGCGTGATAGTCAATGCGACAACGTCGCATGGTTATAAAAGGCTGAAGTAGACCGTTTCATGCTCTCCTTGATAAGTTTCCCAAGGTTCCGCCTTTATCTCTTTCTACAATTCCAAAGATGTCGATAAATGGAATAAAAACAGCGCATATATCTGCTAGTAGTTCAGATGGCTCGGACGAAGAGTGGCAGAAGAGTGGACGTAACAAGGGAGAAGGTACATTTGAGTCCAGGGAGGGTCATCACTTCTACCGGCCGATTGACAGCTATGAGGGACTGCATCGCTGGGATCCGAATTTTCAATGGACGGAACAGGAAGAGAAAAAGATTGTCAGGAAGGTCGGTTAAATTCCATACCACTAATCAATTATCAAATGACTGAATTTGGACAGATTGATGCTCGTGTCTGCACGTTTGCCTGCGTGACCTTCTTTGCATTGCAGCTGGATCGAGGAAATATCAGCCAGGCACTAGCGAGTACGCTTCTGGAAGATCTTGGAATGACAAGCAACGATTATAACTTGGGTCAGACGGTTTTTCTGATCTGTTTCTTGTTGGCTGAGATGCCGTCACAGTTGCTCTCGAAGAGAATCGGCCCGGACCGTTGGATTCCTATTCAAATTGTTGCTTGGAGTTTGGTCGCGGCTTGCCAGGCCTTTTTGAAAGGGCGTGGCTCGTATTTGGCCTGTCGAGCTCTGCTAGGATTCCTAGAAGGCGGGTTGTGAGTAATTCTCCTTCACATAATCTTAACGTGGGTCTGACCGTGTTTTTAGTATACCTGATACGATTCTTTTTCTGTCTTTCTTCTACAAATCTAGTGAGCTTCCGAAAAGACTGACCTGTTTCTGGATATCCTATACCGTTGCCGGAATTATCGGCTCATTTCTAGCCTTTGGCTTCCTACACATCAAAGACGCCAACGGCAGCGGTGCCTGGAGATATTTATTCGCGTACGAGGGTCTTATAACTGGCGTGATTGGAATCATCGCTGCATTCTGGATGCCGGCGTCACCTGTACAAACCAAGGGAGGATTACGCGGTAAGGACGGGTGGTTTACAGAGCACGAAGAGAAGATCATGGTAAACCGCGTGATTCGGGACGACCCTAGCAAGGGCAGTATGCACAACCGACAAGCGGTCACCCCACGGCGCTTCTGGGAGTCGCTCAAGGATTACCACGTGTGGCCAATCTATGCTCTGGGTCTCATTTGGATGATACCCAGTACACCATCCCAAAATTACCTCACGCTACAACTGCGGTCCCAGGGGTTTACGACGTTCCAGACCAACTTGTTGACAATTCCAGCAGCTGTCATTGCGATTATCACCATGATAGCAATTACCTGGGTTGCGGAGCGTACAAACCAGCGCCTTCTCTGGGGCGCAGCAGCCGAAGTCTGGAACCTGGTACTGCTCATTGCGCTGGAGTTGCTTCCTCAGAAAAGCATGCCGTGGCCTCGTTGGGCGATCCTTACGCTTCTTGTCGGTGGGCCGAGTATTCATCCTGTTGTGGTCGCGTTGACTTCACGGAATGCCGGATCTGTGCGGACTCGCACTGTTGCTTCTGCGTTGTATAATATGTCTGTGCAAGTGAGCAACATTGCAGGTGCCAATGTGAGTTCAATTCCTTGTTTTACTCTAGATATGGATAGACTATTTAGAATACTAACATTTATGAACAGGTGTACCAAGCAAAGGATGCGCCATACTACAAAAAAGGAAACAAAGTTCTTATTGCATTGGCTGTCGCCAGTGGGTTCCTTTTCATCTTCGCCAAGTTCTACTACGATTGGCGGAATAGGTACATATTCAGAACTTGTAAATATCAATATGGATCAGCTTTGCTAACTTATAACAGTCAAAACTCTGCAAAATGGGATGCTATGACAAGCGAGCAAAGAGAGATTTACCTGCGTGAAAACCCGGTGTTGACTAACAAGAGGTACGTTGACTAGCGCTGCAGAATATAACTACTAGCAGTGCTAGGAACTGACTATGGTGTATAGAATTGACTTCCGGTTTGCTCGTTAGAGCTATCTGATCAGGAATTTCGAGAAATTTGCAATATTGGACATGGGTGTTGCGATGGAATAAACATGCAGATCGCTGTTGTTCATAGAAAATCCATTATAGTATCATGGCTTTGTCAAAGAAAGGAATTCATTTACGTCACAGTTACCAAGAAATGAGATTTGACCTTAAGATAGCATGAAATAATTCAATTTCACAAGAAGTTGATATGCAGGCCTATCGCGAATAGTCCGAAATTGCACCATTGTGGCTGGAATGAGGTTGTTCGGAGAATTTGGGCACCATACATTGATGTTACAATATGCCATCAGGGATAGGCTTGGACACGTCTTTCTTCGGAGAATCATGTACGGAGTACATACTCCGTACATGATTCTACATTTCCTTATTAATTGGGGAGATTGTATAGATATCAGGACCCTGAACATTCAATCACCGCCTTCTTGATTGGTTGCAATACCGAATTCTGCTATAATCTCCGACACTGTATAGTTTTCTGTCGTATGAAGTAGTTAGTGATGACATATAAAGCAGTCCAAACTACATATGACAAAAGTGACTTAATTTTGCTCGGGGTTTACATAGGTATCTACCATCTCATACTTTTGTACGGAGTATGGGGAGTTTGACACGAAAGCGGTGTATAAAATTGTAAGGCGGTATAACTAGAAAGCGGTACGTGTCAAGGCAGGCATTATCCAAATTAGGAAGGCGGCGATTCAGTTTACAGGCAGAGGGGTCAGAGCCAAGGGGGTTCATATCAATCCCCTTGATTTACGATTTATTCAAAGTGGACTGAGATTGTTGAGACAGATCATGCATCATTATATGAACTCCTCATTCTCCCGGCCTATTTAAACCTCCATTCAAGAGACCCTCAAGCCTTTGATTCACTCTCTGGAATGTAAGGTGTCTCATAAGGGCGCTCTGCCTGTGGAGTAATGCGCGCCAAGTGGCGACGCTCACCAGTTGTCCAATCAACAATTGCAGAATGAGCCGTGACACGGTTCTATTTATATGCAGACATTAGTTTTTTGAGCCGTTAATCTATAATCAGGATTTCACTCACATCCCAGACAACAACGGTCTTCGGAGCCCATCGAACACGAGCTTGATAATCAATTCCCCGACCCACATGAGCCAGCAGGAAACCTAGAAGGGCATCGCTCTCCTCCTTTTTGAGACCGACAATACTGCGAGTGACTAGTCTTGGTGTAAGCACTTGCTTTTCTCAAGGAGCATGGGAGTATACTTACAGCCACCATTGACGAAAAGCGCTTTCTCACCAGTTACCGGATGGGTGCGAATAAGAGGATGCTCGGTCTTGACCGGGTCCCGTCTATCGACTCCCCCACGCTGTAGACTAAACTCGGCCTGCTCAACCCCGGAATGCACAGCCTTCAACCCGTGCAGACGCTCCTTGAGCGCTGGCGAAAGCCGATTATAGGCCTCGACTTGGTTGACAAAAACAGTATCCCCGCCTACTTCAGGACCGTCAAGGAGGTACAAGAACGTGGTACCGGGTGGCTGCTGCTCATATGTGACATCAGAATGCCATGCGACACTGCTGTTCTTCGCCGCGAGATATTCATCGAATTCCCAGGAATTGTTGTTCCGGTGCACGAGATGAATCTCGGGATATCCCTCCGGAGCTCCGCTAGTTGGGTGGATATGGTGGCGGCCAAAGTATCCTCCGAAATCGAGGGCCTCTTGGATGGGCAGATCGGCGAGATCTTGGTCTCTAAAGGCGACAACTTTGCGTTGGGCGACGAGTAGAGCGAGTTGATCCTTTCCGGCAGCGGTGAGCTTGCTTAACTGAACGCCTGTAACCTCAGAGCCGATGGTTGGAGTCAACTTTTGGATCTTGGAGCCTTCGGTGAGGAGGTCTTTGAAGGAGGGGTCGGCGTCTTTTCCGTGGTCGACGTGCGTAAAGGGTTCAAGAGGAGGGTACTTTCCTCCATAGTCCCATACAGGCAGGTAGTTTGGATGCTGCATCATTGTTAGGGAAAGCTATATGTGAGAGACTCAAAGGTCTAGCCATGACGTACACTAGCAGTAGTCTTTCCCCCTTCCTCGTCAATTATTCTTCTCACTCTGGGTTTGGTCTCGGTTGTTGAAGGAGCGGCCTTTACAGGAACAACAACTTCCGCGGTGGGAACTTGAGCAATAGATGGTGCCATGTTGTGCTAAGAGATTGGTAGATTTTGACGTTGGTCAAGTTTGAGCAATTATCTCAGGGATCTGTAAGCACCATCCACTTCAATATATATAACTTTCAATTCCATTTGCTTCGCGCCATTTTGTCGTAGAATCACGTATGAATTCCTTGGTGTCCGATATACGCGAGAGTGATAAGCATCATGTGAGAGGATCAGATACACAAAGCACATCAACATTGATGCCGTGATATCCGTTCTATCGAATGACTCATTCAGCATCATAAGACAACAAATAGATCAAGCCTGACGTGCTATAACCGACAATAACATCATTTACTTGCCAATGGGAATGGTATAGAGTGTGGTCTTGGATGATTGATAATGTCGAGATGGCGTGATATGATGCAAGTGACAACCCCGCAAACGACTCTAGGTCCATGATAGATGCATGCCAAACTCTGCAGTAGCGATGACAGACGTGGCATTTAAATGGAAAGAGTAAGAACTCGATGGTAGGTTCATTATTTGTTTCCCGCAAGGCGGGTAAGGTTGCCAGTGATGATACCACTTACCCTAGGAATAAAGGCTTTTGGACTCTTTAGAGAGAAAATAGGCACAATTCAAGGAAGGGAAACTAGAGAGTTTGGTATGACCGAGTTATATTGTGATGCTAGGTACGAAGTGCAAATCTAGTCTGTGCTATCATGAGTGGATACCCATTAGACTGACTGCCTTTCGCATCTTATTCCACTTCTGTGTTATACGCTGAATGGATCATTGTCGACATTAATTTGGCTGGTTCGACTCTTGGCTTTCCCTTGGCGCGGATTAGGCAAAATATTTCAGGATGCTAGATGTGACCATTAGGCTCGATAGGTTTGACTGGACTGTCAGTTCTCAGTCGCGCCGCGAGTTTTATTGTCTCCACGGAGCAGGCAGCATATAATTCAGTCAGATGCGATGATCAAAATTGAAGGATGCTAAAAGTAACATGTGAGGTACTGAAAAATTCGCAATCACATTGAAAGTGGAAGTCGAAAAGTGACTTGCTGATTGAGGAGTCGATCTCGGGAAGGAGTTAGCATTATCCGAGGCCACGTGGTCTAGATCACGGGTTGTTTCCCCAGGTTCTCCTTCCGAGTCACGTGACTACCATCCACAGAAACTATAAATATCTGACTTAATTTCAAACCGAAAATTGTCTACCAGAATCATAGGAACTCCAAATCCGATTTCATTTAGAGGTTGCTAAAAGTATAATCATAGTCAATCAATCCTTTGCTTGCTCCACTGGTCTAAATATATATATCTCAAGTTCTCTATCAGCCTATCGTTTTTTCTTCTTTCATTCTAATCTCCGGCCCCAAAAAGAGAGCGAACGAAAAGAGGAGAGAAAAATATAGTTGTAAAAAAGAGTCTTTGAGCATATGATAGCGATCTATCTGTAACAACCCATTCCATCTCAAGTTTCCCTTTTCTCTCGTCGCCCGTAAGCTTCTTTGTTTTTATAGATAGCTTGTTCCTATTTCTTTAAGTATTTGTACCCCGAATCGCATGTAGATTCGTACCGAGGAATTTTTTCGAGACTCAACTTTCTAAGAAATATATCTTCAACATGTCGGAACGATACAACTTTCGAGTAGTCCTCGCGTGTTCGGAGACTACCGCCCCAACACCTTGGAGGACCACCAACAGATCCAACTCCACGCATAAAGCTCAAAATAGAAGACCTGGACCTTGACAAATCCTACATTGGCACTTTGATGCCACCTAAACGGCCACCGAGGCCAAAGAAAACCAGACCATGGACCAAATGGACAGGAAGCGAGCTTACCGATCCAGCTAAACTTTCTCGTGGCTGGCACATGAATGAGGACGATCTTGAGATTGAGTGAGACGGCCTTGAATCTAAGTGTGCAAACAACGAGCTAATCAGAACTCAATAGCGATGTTGATGGCCAAATCAAAAGATGGCATGAGAGAATTGCCGAGAACATAATGCCTCATGTTTTTTTGCCAAAGGCTGGAGGAATATATGGCTACAAAGGCCTAAAATGAGTGAGTCAGCTATATTGGTATTGCTTGTGTGCAGATTCTCACCTTGTTAAACTATAGCCAGATGAGGTTCCCGGGGTCTGAAGAGCTCAGCTGGGATACTATTCAACGGGTGCATCAATTGGAGGCTATGGAGACAGAGCTCGCGAGTGCCGGGGATGAATACGATCGACTTCCAAACATTGAGGCTATTTTGGAAGCTTATAAATCGGGTAAACTTGATTGGTATACTGGTCTCGTTACATATTGGTCGAAGGGGTCCCGGATCTGTCAACCAAGACCATTTGACTGGGATGAATTTGAAGCGATCAGCTCCCACTACGAGGATCACAAAGGATTATGGACCGAAGGGGTAATCGATTCATTCTGTTTTCCAAAGGTAACTGGCTGACGAATGATATCAGCTCAATATTTCTGAGAATGATGTTTCCTATGGAGCTATCACCGCAGGTCCATGTCGAATCTATACAAAGCTGACTCGGGTGAGATCCATACCTATTATGGCTCAAACCTCTTCCAAGTATTTCTGACTTTTTTTTATCTAGTTGACATTAGCACTCCGCCTTCCAGGAGTACCGTGATTTGCCGAGTTGGACTTTATTCACAATACTGGCTGCAGTAAAATGTCCATCTATCAAGGAGATCTTAAGATGCTTCTTGGTCCTTTTGGCGGGACTATTGGGCCACAAATACCGGTCATCTGCATGTCAACGTCTCAAACTTGTAATGGCCCTGTAACCAGGCAATTTATTGAAATTGAAGTCACAATTCTTGATCAAGGTCGCCAGAGAATGACCGCTTGGACTAGAACCACGTGCTGTCTCAATCCAGGAAGCTGGAAATACAAGAGCATCCCCCGACTAGATGGCCCAATTGTGCACGATTTGTTATATGTGGCAAGCGCACCTGATAACTAGCTCCCGTCGTTTACACATCTCAACCACGAAGTCTGAACTGGACCTGCCAGACCTGCCCCTCGCTACCAACCCAGGACAGTACTATGGGCAATCTAGAGGTCCCATGCCAGTCGGAAAATTTGCCGATACACATGGTGGTTGGCTACCAGAAATGCTCGGAACGTTGGAAATGCCGCCAGCAGCAGCTGGAGTTCCTCCCTAAGAGACTTATAAACCTGTCATTCCCTCGCCGACTGTTGCTTGTCCTTGAACTTAGTCTTGATTCATTTGTTCTTTTTATTGCTTATAGTGTATTGCTGCCCCAGTTTATCACATTTCTCAATTGTTTGTTGAGCATTTCTGTTGTTATATTTTGGCGCAAACCAAGACAGCCAATAAAATCACTGTTTTGTTATGTTAGTTAATATAATGTTTTTATGGAGTAAGATAGTGTATGTCCCATCAAGGACCGACATGCCATACTTATGTTATCAATTTCCCCCTCGCACTGACGTTGGTCATATCTAGATATGCCTTGGAACCTCGGGTGTAGCTATAGATGCCGTAATAATTGAGATAGAGAAATATGAGGCTTGTAGGCTCATTTCGCAGTCCGTTTCTTTCCTATCTTTCAGGTGTAGAGCAATGTTAAATGCTAACGGTGCCGATCCAACCAACATAGGCGGCCCATGCAGATCGTACGGAACCTGGCAGTCTCCCTTTAACCCCTCTTCCTCTCCTTTCCACCTTTCCTCTCTTCTAGTACTAATACTTCTATCATAAATCACTTCCAAGAACTTTGTATAAGAGAAAATTGGCTAACCCACGAATGGTGTCACTCGGTAAACAAATATAATGATCTTATTCCTTATTAGTGTTGTGATGCCTCAGGCCACGATCGACACAGGGAAGTCACAATTCATATTCTCAAGATGGAGCAATCTGCGAACCGTGAAATTTTTGTATCCAACCGGCCCCGTGATCTGCGCCAATACGCTTGGAACTATGGAGTAGCCAAGCTCTGGCTGAATTCCAGGGAAAAAGATAATTTGTGGTCGCATTTAGCCCCACGCCGCTTCTTATGCGCTGCGGGTCGCTGGTCTAGATTGGAGACAGCGAGGTGGCAGCTATCTCGTCTTTTTTTCATTTTGCCTTCTCTTTTTCAACTGTTAAAAAGAAATTCTCACTGTGAATCAAAGTGACAAAGATAGTCTCAAATAATGTGATTCTAGCTACATTTTCGTGACTTTCGCAAGGTCAATATAAATTGCGGAATACTAGCGTATTGCAACTAGTGGCAATTCATCAACACTTGCACTACAGGGTCCACAGTTAATTACCACCATGGGAGGTCTCTGAAACGGAGAGAACAATACCTTTGTAGGAATTTTTCCCGAGTTCCGTTTTTCAACTCTGCTTCTCCCAGGGGCCTGAATTTTCGAGCTCAAGTCAATCATCCATCATGACCGTCAAAGAGAAGACAAGCGTAAATGACGCGGAGCTGGGAAGCCCTGGGGACTCTACCGAGGAGTACGAGGTCTTCAAGAAAACCGAGGATGGCGTCAGCTTCCGCAGTGTTGGCTGGTTCAAGGCGTGCATTATCTTCGTGAAGGTCCTCTTTGCGACGGGTGTGCTGTCGCTGCCAGCTTCACTGTACTCCCTCGGTGCGGTAGGTGGCTCGATCAGTATCGTCGCATGGGGCGCGTTCAACACCTACTCTTTCGTGATTCTGGGCAACTTCCGCAAGAAGCATCCTCACTGCCACTCCATCGCCGATATGGCGGAAGTCGCCGGTGGTTTCTTCGCGAAAGAGCTTACCGGTATACTCTTCCTCATCGGCTACGTCCTTGTCACGGGCAGTGGTATTATCGGAGTTTCAACGGCCTTGAATGCGCTTTCGCACCACGCTGCGTGCACTGTCTGGTGGTCTTTCATTGGAGCGGTTGTGATCATCGCGACAGCTTCGGTACGCAAACTCCAGCATGTGGGCTGGCTCACATATGCAGGATTCATTTCGATCTATGCCGCCGTTCTGATCGTTGTTATCGGAGTCACAACGCGCGACCGGCCGGCTGCCGCACCCCAGGAGGGCCCTTACGAGCTCGGCTACGTGGCAATCAACAACCCCGGATTTGCGGCTGGCATGGTCGCTTCCAGTACTATCTTCGTCTCTACGGCTGGTACCAGCGCCTTCATCCCGGTGATGTCGGAAATGCGAAACCCGAAGGACTACAAGAAGGCCCTATACCTGTGCATGGTTGTGGTTAATGCGTCGTACCTTGCTTTCAGCTTGGTTGTGTATCGTTGGTGTGGACAATGGGTGGCTAGTCCGTCTTTGGGTGTATGTATCCTATCCTTTGCCTGATACCGGTTTCAGACAATCAGCTAATTTTTGATTTTTACAGAGCGCTGGACAGACGATCAAGATGGTATCTTACGGTGTTGCGCTGTTAGGACTGGTCGTCAGTGCCACGATCTACTTGCATGTGAGTATATCCCTCGCAACTCACGCTTCCGGAACTGACTTCGCTACTTAGATCGCCGCCAAATACATATTTGTGCGTATCTTGGGTAACACGCGCCATCTGCAATCCAACACCGTCATTCATTGGGTTACTTGGATGAGCTGTACGGTCGGTCTCGGTGCTATTTCCTTCATCCTCAGCGAGACTATCCCTATCTTCAACTACCTGGTTGCCCTAATTGGGTCCGTTTGCTTCGCGCCTCTGGCCATGTGCCTTCCCGGTTTCTTGTGGCTACACAGCAATGGTCATTACCGAAAGGGCACACTGATGCAGAAGGTTATCTACCTGCTGCACTGGGGAATGGTGCTCCTCGGAATTTTCTTCCTTGTCGGCGCGACGTACGGTGTTATCATTCAGATCATCGATGCCTACGCAACGGGAATGATTGGTATGTTCTGCTATACCCGCAACAGTGTAGAACTGCGACTGACTTTTTTTATTAGGCTCCACTTTCAGCTGCTTGGACAACTCCAGCTCGTCGTAGGTATGGGTCTTTACAGTCGACTGCTTAGGGATCTGCCCCCAACTGGAGTGGTGATATATACGCTCAACATGGTATGGATGGTTATACAGGAATTATATAATGAGGGCCCGGGAGGTCATAATGTATGTTGTAATGAGCTGTTATGGAATCGTAACAAATTCTGTTTTCCTCGCGAAACTCTGCAAGCCAAACGCTAATGTAGGTACTGTCTCCACTAATTCCCAAATGCGGTCCCTCGTGTGGCTCACGGACGCAGTTCCGCGACCCCGGGAACCTACTTCTAACTACATTCGGCCTGACTTTTGTCTATCAAAACTTTAATTCCTTCCAACGTTCCCGCTTAGAATTTTTTTCCGTCGGACAGGAGAGGCTCTTGTGCCACATCCCGAGGTCCTTTCCCAGCTTTCATGACACATACCATTATGTATTTCAGTGTTACCGAGGTCCGGCTCCATCGCAAATTTGTGGTATCCCGTGTGGATCCACCCGCGTTCCACGACCTTGAAGTTCCTGGCCCAGGATGTGGGGACAGGAATCCACGATGCCTTATCGCAGCTGCTAGCCGCTGTTGATCTTGACCAGCTCACGGTACGAAGGCTTCATTCCCGTCCCGCGGCGCTGATACCATTGCGGGTCTTCACTCCACCCTTGGTTCGCGTGGAAGCGAAGGATTCCGGGATCAAATGCTCGACTTTTATCATTGAGCAGAATTGGGACTTTACTGACTTCTAGAAGGCTGTGGGTACCAAGCAGGTGGATGGTGATAAGAAGGGTATGTTTACTAGGATGGCGACATGGTTCGAAAGCGAGGTGGACGATTGATTTTTTTCAGCTTAGGTATGTGACTTTGTCTGATTATCAAGACCGATTAAACTAAAGTTTGCCTAAGTTTACGCCTTCGATCTTTCCTTTTCACACGCGGAAAATATATATAGCCGGGATACCAGGCAAGGTCCCAACACGATCACGTCAAAACATCTTTGGAACTAATAGAATGGCTGGGTATCATATTGGCAGACCTGCAGCGGAAATAAACTCCTGCATCAAGATGTTTCATGAAGATGGCTTGTATATAAGGACATTCTCAACACCTTGACGGTAACTAGATCCCTAAACGTACATGTAGATTCAATAACATACTGCTCGTAGTCATATTTATGCCGACTTTCCCTCAGCAGAATCCCGCGGTTGAGACACCGAAAGAGATCGCTGATCGTTGCCGCCTTTCGTCCGCCCAATGCCAACCATCTGCAAGATTTCCCGCCAGAAGCCAGTAGGGGGGTCGAGGAAGCTATCCTCGTAGGCATCGATCAAGGGTCGTTCCCAGACAAGGTCGGCTTCATGGGCCTTGACGAACTTTGTTTTCTTGATGATTTTCCAGATGATGAAGAGGGGAGGGATGACGATTTGCATGGTGTAGTTCGACCAGAAGGAAGACACGGACCAAGGCTTGTATGAGGTGTAACCGTAGACGATGGTGACGATGATCATCCAAACGAATGCAATGTATGCACAGTAGGGTTGGAGTCGTCCATAATAGGAGAGGGACCGGCGGTCAAGCCCCTGCGCTTTGCAAGCGCGGTGGAAGAAGATGTACGTCAGACTGATGACGATGTAATTGATGAGACCTGGTTATGTTGTCAGTATTGTAATCAGTGTTGGGTAGCACGGATTGCATCGTGATTTCTTACCTCCGGCGGTCACCAGGCTAGCGAACCACGTGATGACGATGGACGAGCTGCTAGAACACTGCAAGAAGGAAAGCATAGGGAAGATCATCACGATCAGGAAGCAATAGACGGGTACACCGTTGCGCGTAGTGTAGGTGAGCACTCTCGGGGCTCTCCCTTCCAGTGCTAAGCCGTAGAGAGTACGGATAGCGCAGTAGGTGTAGGTATTGCCAGCAGAGAAAATGGAAGTCAGCAAGAGGCTAAAAGATTACGGTCAGTTTTAGTTCGTCAGATTCATGTTATTTTCGATGGCACTGACGCGTTGATGATCGAAGGGAAGATTGAAATGCCCATGTTTCGCATGCCAATGACATACGGCGATGCCGAAGCAGAACCAGAAGAACCGCCCGTCACGACCGCCTTGAGTTGCGGATCATTAGCGGCACAAACGATACCCACAGCCAAGGCGCCGCCAATAAAGAAGAGACCGAAGCGAATGTAGACTGTCTTGAATGCATTCTTGATATAAATGCGGGGACGCTTTGCTTCAGCTGCGACCATGGAGATATACTCAGGACCGACGACGGCAAAGCAAGCCGACCAGAGAGATCCCAAGAAGCCTTCAAAGCGACCAAGGGCGCCGGTATCCAGATATTCCATGAAAGAGCCTGGGTTGTTCCAGTGGCGGAATCCATAGGCATCATGGGTCGGGTTTCCACCAACCATGGTGATGAAGGTGAAAAAGAACAAGGAGAAGATCAGAATGACCTTTCCACCGGACAGCCAAAATTCAGCCTCGCCATAGGCTTTGACGGCCAAGACGTTAAGGCATCTTTGCGAGAATCAGTATTTTGATCAGACTTGAAGTGTGTAAATTGCCAAAATGGGCGGAAGAGGTTCTCACCCGTAGACCACGATGACACCAGCACAGATGCCTGCGACTGGACCAGGTTCAGTAATCTTCTCACTCCAGAAAGACAAGACGAGCGTGAAAGCCGAGATCTCAAAAGGAATCAAAAGGGCCTCATAGAAGCTAAAAGAAGTGTTAGCAAAGACAGCAGGCAAGGTTTCGGCGAAGCCGAAAGTGGGACAAACAAAAAGTTCCAGCCGACCATGAAGCCAAGAGCGTCGTCGACCCATTTTCCAGCCAAGCGAATGAAACCACCACTGACAGGGAAGGCAGTGGTCATTTCAGCGAGACAGTTATTCACCATGGCCAAAAATATACATTGAACGGTAAAGGCAATGAACAAGCTGCCAGGTCCACCGTGGTAAAGACCGGAGCCGATGCTCACGAAAAGTGCGGTTCCGATGGAGCCACCAATGGCGATCAGTTGGATTTGACGATTTCCAAGATGTCGTTGAAGATTGTCGGCATTTTCAGCCATCACGCCTTCTTGGACATCTCGAGGACCGCCCTCGGTTTTGAGGCCCAGTGTTTCCATCACAGTGCCGTTCGATTCTTTCTTTTCTCCTAGGATAGCCATATTGCTTTCATTCCTGTCTGCGGTGTTAAGTGGGTGATGGACGATACGGGGTGGAGAATTCGCAAGCGGGAGAAACTGGATGGGCTGAGGTCGCTTATTCGTCTAGATTCTGGGGTAAGGGTTCTGCAAATGTTGGGGTGGATCGGCGGAAATCCGGGGGTGGATCTGCTACAGGATGGTGGGATGCCGGGCTGTGTTGCAAGGGTCTGGGATTTGATCGCGTTGTGGGCAGTGATTTTGTCGCTTTGGATGTAGAAGGTGCAATGGCAAGGCAAATGTCGGAGATATCGAGTTAGGGTAGGATTTCCGTCCAGTACGGAGTTTAGCGGAGAAACGTTGAAACTTTCCTCAAGAAAAGGATATTTGGAGAAGTAAAAAGAAGGATGCAGTCAGAAAGCGTGAAATGTAGGCAGCGAAAGACGTCTAATAAAGAAAATCAGGGCCAAAACGTGGAAGTAAAAGAGGAAACTCAAAAAGATCGAGGTTTTCCCTCGAGGTACGATTAGCCCTAACGCAACAACCCCATGCAAGCCATCTAAGCCATACAGAAGCCATCCCAAGCCATACCAAGCCATTATGACGCGCTTCGGGGGGTTACTTTCGATATCTCCCGGCGCTGATTGGCTCGGAATACATATCGCCCCCGCACGGGCTGCCACTTAACCCGGATCCGGACACGAGCCGGGGCGTGGATCTCCCCTGGCCTTTTATCTTGGACTCGACTACCTAAACAGTCTTAGATGGACTCCTCGGCGGGTTATGTCCCCCAACTCAGCTATGTATTACGCTCGGCAGGGTGTCCTAGTCTCGGTGTGCACGTGCCCCCAGCTAAGACTGCATTTTAACCTCCCGGTTGCATCCAATGTCTCAATTGATCTGAGTTTGGAATTGTCTAACTACGGAGTTATCCGTATATTCTAGTCTTGGCATCCTTGCGTGACTGGCTTATCGTGTGCTCGGTCCTTCTCACCTGGGCAGCTTCGTCTGTTACGTAACCTTGCCAGATAATCTTGGAACCTTGGAACCGTTAACCTTCCAAGGAAGTGCCAAGTAATCATGAGCCTGCAATACAACCCCCTGGACGTAATGTAGTTCGATCTGAGTAGTCAATCGACAGAACTTGGTCGCATGGTGGATACGTGCAGATGCCAAGGCACGGTTCGAATCAGGTTTCATTGGTCAACAGTTTTGCCTCTCCTATCTCAATTCTTCTTCTCGCACTGGGCATATCATGCCGACTTTCTCTTTGAGGCTTGGAAAAGCGTAGAAATTGTTGGGAAGATAACGCATTTCCCCTCATATCAGACAATCAAATCAGACAATCGAATCAGACAATCGAAGTATATTGCTCATTGGTCTGATATCCGTGCATCTCTCTCTTTCCTCTTTGGTTCTTATGTTAGAGAAGAAAGACGGTGTGCTTGCTGATTTTCTTGCCGAGTGAGCATCTTTAGTACAGATTGTGTGCCTGTACCTGCATCTAGAATTCATACCCCTGATCAATGGATGAGGTCGTAGAGCGAGACTCGATCTTGCCCTAGCCTGTCACATAGTAAGTCTCAATCGACAATTAGTTAGTCGAACAAGTTTTGACTCGTAATGTTTAATTTTCCAATCACTGTGTAGTACAAAGCAGGTACTCCCTCTTATACAAAATGTCATACATCGAAGTGTACATCAATGTGGTTCCACGCTAATGAGACAAACCTGGGGATTAATTTGCAGATCACGTGGCCGATTTCCGGGGTTGCTTTGAAATTCCCTTGCCACAAGAGGCTTGACGACCAGGAACACGGGATCACGTGATACCGCTCCTTGTCGACTCCCGAGGTCGGGGGACAGAAAAAAGTTTGCTTAGAGTTGACTCACCAATGTCTCCGTGTTCGATGTTGTTGAAGCGCGTCGCTAGGCCTCCGGCCACCATGATGTGCAGACCGGTGAGTACAGCTTCCTCTCATGATCACCCAATTCAATCTGACTCCCAAAGGTTCGGCCCCGGTGGACTCCGTCCTTCGGCGTCCCAAGCAGGACAATCCATCATCCCCTACGATCGGTCTCGAGATCCCTCTCTTCTCGTTCGCTGAGCACGACAGCCTTCACCCAGGCCGAAGGCTTCCACTCACAGCAAGAGAATGCTTCAGTGCCTTTTTCTGAGACTCCCACCGAGAGACGCACGCCGCAAACCTTGACGGAGAAGATCGTACAACGGTATGCGGTCGGTCTCCCCGAAGGAAAGCTCGTTCGCAGCGGCGACTACATCAGTCTTGCCCCCGGGTATTGCATGACTCACGACAACACCTGGCCCGTCGCCCTCAAGTTCATGTCTATGGGAGCAACCAAGATCAACCGCCCAGAGCAGATTGTCATGACTCTCGACCACGATGTCCAGAACACGAGCGCAGCAAACCTTAAGAAATACGAGCAGATTGAGACTTTTGCTGGACAACACGGTATCGACTTCTATCCTGCGGGCCGGGGTATTGGGCACCAGATTATGGTCGAAGAAGGATACGCATGGCCGGGTAGTATGGCGGTGGCTTCGGACAGCCACAGTAACCATTATGGCGGAGTTGGCTGTCTTGGAACTGCTGTTGTGCGTACCGACGCTGCTAGTATTTGGGCAACGTCGCGGACATGGTGGCAAATTCCCCCTGTTGCGCGGGTGACGTTTACCGGAACGCTACCAGTAGGCGTCACAGGTAAGGATGTGATTGTCGCGTTGTGTGGACTCTTCAATAGCGACGTGTTGAACCATGCAATTGAGTTCACCGGCTCCGAAGAGACTATGGAAAGCCTCCTTGTGGATAGCCGCCTGACGATTGCCAATATGACAACTGAGTGGGGCGCGCTCACGGGTCTCTTCCCCATTGATCAGACTCTGAAACGCTGGCTACGTTACAAGGCTACCGAGGCAGCGATGTCTGAGGACCGCACAACCCGGAATCGTATCACGCACGAAAGAATCGACGAGTTGTTCGCCAACCCCCTCACAGCCGACCCTGATGCCCAATACGCCAAACAGCTCTACCTCAATCTCTCTACTCTCTCGCCTTACGTCTCTGGTCCTAATTCAGTGAAGATCGCAACACCACTCAACGAGCTCGTTCAAAAGGACATCAAAATCAACCGCGCATATATCGTCTCCTGTACGAACTCGCGTGCTTCGGACCTCGCGGCAGCCGCTAAGGTCTTCAAAGACGCCGCCAAGGCCAACCCCGGCACGACTCCCAAGATTGCTGACGGTGTCAAACTCTACATCGCGGCTGCTTCCGCGCCCGAACAAGAGGCCGCAGAGTCCACTGGCGACTGGCAGGCCCTCATCGACGCCGGTGCGCAGCCGCTGCCCGCCGGATGCGGACCTTGCATTGGCCTTGGAACAGGTCTATTGGAGCCCGGTGAGGTGGGCATTAGTGCCAGTAATCGTAACTTCAAGGGACGGATGGGCTCGAGAGATGCGCTAGCATACTTGGCGAGTCCTGAAGTCGTGGCTGCGAGCGCTCTCAACGGCGTTATCTCTGGCCCCGGCTCTTACAAGGTGCCTGAGAACTGGTCTGGCGTGGAGCACGGATTCGGAACCGGATCCGAACCTACCACCGAGAATGAGCTCACCAATATTCTACAACAGATGGAATCTCTGATCGATCGGGTTGAGTCCGCCGCAGACGAGTCCAAGCCTGCCACGGAGATTCTGCCAGGCTTCCCCGAACGCATCAGCGGCGAGATCCTCTTCCTCGATGCCGACAATCTCGACACTGATAGCATCTACCCTGGTAAATTGACATACCAAGACAATGTCTCGAAGGATGATATGGCCGCCGCATGCATGCAGAATTACGATCCCACGTTCAAGGGAATCGCCAAGCCAAATGACATCCTCGTCGCCGGCTTCAACTTCGGTTGTGGATCCTCCAGAGAACAGGCCGCGACCGCCATTCTTGCTAAGCAGATTCCCCTAGTCGTGGCTGGCAGTTTCGGCAACATCTTCTCCCGAAACAGTATCAACAACGCGCTCATGGGCCTTGAAGTCCCCCGACTTGTCGAGCGCCTCCGTGCCAGCTTCGTTCAGCCATCCTCTGGCGACGTCGCGGGCCGCCAGCTGACGCGCCGGACAGGCTGGACTTTAACGTGGGACGTGAAGCGTAGCGTCGTTGAAGTTAAGGAGGGTGAGACAGGAGAGACCTGGACAGAGCAAGTCGGCGAGCTCCCAGCAAATGTACAGGAAATCATCGCCGAAGGTGGACTCGAGGCCTGGGTCAAGGGCAAAGTTGCGGAGTCAAAGTGAGGACTTATTAACCGGGCCAGACGAGAACATACTGATGTCCTCGCCTTCCAGGTAACCACCGCCATACTTTTGTCTCTTGTATGATTTTGCATATTTACATTTTGTACTATTTTTCTATCATCAGGTACCATAGAGAAGGCTTGTGACTGCCATAACAAGTCGTGGACAAAAAAGTCTTTTTGCATAGAATTGATGATTGATCGTTCTTCCTCCTTATCGACGCTTAAAATGCAATCACATAATGAGATCAGATAAATACATCTGTTATACAGCCCTTTTTCAGACATGAGATGTTTGAATAGATGAGTCCATCATCCTCACCAACCTCATCACGGCGCGCTAGCCATCTTAAAACAAGCAAAAGCGGCAACAGCCAGTGACACTGCGCTCAGAAATGCATCTGTCCCAGGTCCGATACTACTCGAGAGAAAGTCGTCGTTTACCGTATAGCGCGGTATTAGATTGAACGTTGTTGCAATTGCCGACCATCCTGAAATCGCTGGAACAACCAACGTATCGGCCATTCCAAAGAAATACTCGAATGGAAGTTTTGAAGTCGACGATAGGGCAAACGTCAAAGCGAGAGAGTACAACTCTAGAAGGCGATACCGGCGTCCAGACCCAAAGCACGGCAATGTCAAGAGAACGAATCGATAGCATGCGTGTGCAAATATCCACGATTTGCTGACGGCAGTGAAGACGAACAAGTTCTCGTGAACTCTGACTGTCTTCCATCCAACGCGGTGTCCTTTTTGGACGATCCAAACGAAGAGGGCAACGCAGGTGATTTTGCTGCACATTCCCCGAAGGGTGCCGCCTGTGGGAGTCCCGACCATCATGCCAATGTTTGCGTACACCGCAAAATTAACATAGGTCGTAAAGGCGGACAGAAATTTCGTCTGCAAAGACCGATCCGCAGCGAGGAACGATAGGACAGAGCCGAGGCCGAGGGGAAGTAAACACATGGTTTTGGTCATTTCACCGAGAGTAGCCGTTGTGTTAAATATGAGGATAGTCGCGCTGACCCCAAGGACGACGAGCAAAAGCAGGCCCGGGTTTCGAACAGCACACCCATAAGTGAGAATGAGGATGATGGTAAGCCATACGTTGAATGGGATATCAATGTACGGTTCAAACGCCGTAAGTAGTTGTGAGAAAGCCATGAGATGAGCTGCGTAGTTCTATCTGGAGCTTTGACTGGAGCTTCCCCAGCTGTCGTGCGGCCCACGCCTAGCTGTGCTCTCAGTATCTAGAAACAGCCAGTTGGATTTTCCAAAACGTGGGAACAAATTGAACCCGAGAAGAGTTTACTCAGAAATTGGCTATGTCCGAACGAGAGATGGAAAAGACCAGCATACCGCCCACCATCGACTTCGGAGAATCGTTTTTACGCACTACAGTCCCACAAAACTTTACACACGCCTCTACCTGTTCGGTGGCCGAGTCGTATTCCAACTTGCAAGATTATCGTGCTGTCTTGTGGAGCATGGTTTGTATGGTAGGCGGATTTGCCCGAGGCTAAAAGTTTTACTATGACAGCTGTTTGAACTGTTTGTTGGCCAACCACTGTTTGATATATTGTTTCTAACACCCTATATTCTCTTTGGCCAGATTTGACAGATGGCAAATGATACGATGGATGTAGGGGAAAGCAAGACCAAGAAGCATGGGCCCGAAGTTGCAAGAATGGTTGAAAGAATTGTTGCGGAGCGAAGCGAAGCATGTATAAATCAAAAGGTCTTATGTACGTGTCACGTGGCCAAGTTTTCTCCTAGCTGAAACAATAGCATTCTAATGTTCCATCACGTGACCAAGTAAGGTCACGTGGCATTTGGCAAAATATCTCCAAACCTGCCATATTAACGCGGCCAATTAGGAAACGACTTGACAATTTCATTTGCTTGAATCTCCCAGAAAAATGACTCAGACCGATGCATCCTGTGCGAAGGGAATTTACGTCGGGTTTTATTTTCAATGCTGATACCAATTCTGAGACACCATTGAACACCCGCAGAAAGTACATTGAAGAAGACGCCGCGATGAAACCCCTTAGCGGAGATGAACTCCACTGATTCATATCGATTTCAAAGATCTTTACTGGGTTCTCGATATGAAGCTCTCATAACCTAATTTCAAGCACGTGCCTAGAGACTATTGACAGGTGGTAATGGGTGAGAATCAGAAAACACGGTGCAGGATCTCTAATGTTGGTACTGCAGAATCAAAAGCAACGTATGACAACCTCTAGAGAAATCCACACCGATGAGAAGAAAGAATATGTATATGTTCCTGGATGATCGATGGACGGGAGAGATACAAAGTGACAGGAGTAAGAGAGAACCAGAGCTATGTAGGTGCTATGTGTGTGCCTATCTGGTCTCAAACAATACCGACCATACTCATCGAAGCGGCGGGTTGTAGTGACTTTAACGGGGAGTGTTTACACTTGGACCCAGAAGGGCAAATATGTAGACCAAGGGCAGTGTGGGATAATGATGGTTAATTGAGACTCCTTCTTAAGCCATCTGCGGAAGACTCAAAAGTTGACGCGTTGCGTTAATACACAATACCTTGATATATCATATTGCTCCTATAGCAACTACCAAAATAAAGCCCTACTTAGATCAGATGTTTGAACGAGAAAGTCTACATTGATATAATATTTCGAGAGAGCGATGGTGTCGTTCAGAGACAGACCTACTCACAGCCTCCTCTCACAAGTATCACTTCACCTCCTGAGGCTCTCAACATAACCATCTGAACTAAAAGTCAGAACCTCTGCATTATCATCGAGGTCCCTTCTCAACTCCAGCGCTTTGGCGTAAACAAGAAAGGCTTGTTCACGCGAAAGAAATACTAAGACAACTGAAGTTCCATTCAAAAGTACAAATGCAGATTAGAAACTTCATGTATTATTTTATTGGAAAATATGTGCCCTATTTAGTTATGGGTGATATGGACCTGTGTGAAGAACTCGATCCGGGTAAAATTGGATTACATAGTTGGATACGTATAGAGTCATTCCTGCGATTCGCAACATGGACCGGTCTGATGACGACAGTAAATTATGATTTAGCATTCAAAGTCTCGCGTGACCATGTTCATATTACTATTTGCGTTGTGGCAAAATCGTGTTATTCTTTTCTAAATGTATTGATCTAGGCTTGTGTATCATGGGAGTCAATTACAAGGCAATGAATAAGGAAAGTCTAATCTAGTGTTATACCCTAGTTGTTGCAATGCTGGCTTCCAGTAGATACATGCATGACAGCATCATTTGCATTGGAATTCTCTGGTTTTAGGTCTTGTCGTATGATTTTAATATCATTTCCACTCACCCGTCTAAGAATTGGGGCTAGGCCCAGCTGGACACTAGATGATAAAACGAAGTATAAAATACAATTCGTTGGCTGATTCCGGCTGACGCAATGTGACCCATTGTTTGGGTTTGACAATACAACGACATTGCTTTTCAATGTTTCTGAGTTCGGTTTATAAATAACCTAACGACGATATCGGTCTTCTATTCAGATATTCATCGTTATTCATTATTATCGGTCAAGCTGTTTTTTGACTGATTTCGCCTACTATAACTCTAGAAACAAACCTGTGATTCATCGATTTCGTGAAACAAAGAGCCTTCACCACCGATAACGATCATGGCAGGAACTGGGAATACGAAAGTTGTACATGATATCGGAAATTTGGTTGTTCATTTTGAACATCTAACGCGCAGTGATGTCGCCTTGGTCGGAGGGAAGAACTCCTCCATTGGAGAAATGATAGGCACCCTTGGAGGTGAAGGAATCTCTGTACCTTCTGGTTTTGCCACGACGTCGCTAGCATACAGGCGCTATATCGATGGGAACAAAATCCGCGATGGAATAACCAGGCTGATCAAGGACTGGCAAACGGGAAAAGCAAATCTTGCCGAAACCGGCTTGGCAATACGCAATTTGATACTCCGCGGCTCTTGGCCACCCGATGTTGAAACAGCCATCCGGAGAGCCTATCACGAACTCTCGGCCAAATTAGGAATTGAGAACCCGAGCGTTGCCGTGCGTTCAAGCGCGACAGCAGAAGACTTGCCAGATGCGAGTTTTGCTGGACAACAGGATTCCTATCTGAACATCTCAGGTGAAGATCGATTGTTGAATGCCTGTCGCCGCTGCTATGCGTCTCTTTTCAACGACCGCGCCATCAGCTATCGCCAAGCCAAAGGGTTTGATCACATGAGCGTTGCCCTCTCGATTGGCATACAACAAATGGTTCGCTCCGATGCCAACGGGTCAGGGGTCATGTTCTCCATCGATACCGAAAGTGGCTTTGACAAGATTGTGCTCATCAACGCAGCGTGGGGACTAGGAGAGAATATAGTACAAGGGACTGTCAATCCTGACGAATACCAAGTGTTCAAACCACTTCTGAGAGATGAGAACCTTTTGCCGATCATAGAGAAAAAATGCGGGGACAAGGCAATGAAAATGGTCTACGGGGAAGATGTACCGACGCGGAATATACCTACGTCAAAGGCGGAGCGCGCTGCTTTTGTGCTTGGCGATCAGGAAATTCTTCAGTTGAGCCGCTGGGCATGCACCATTGAAAAGCACTATGGCTGTCCAATGGACATAGAATGGGCAAAAGATGGCATCACGGGCGAATTGTTCATCGTCCAGGCCCGCCCAGAAACCGTTCAATCGCGTCGTGACGCTGGTGTCTTCACGACTTTCCAGGTAGGAAAGAGAGGCCGCATTCTTACGAAGGGACTTTCAGTTGGAGACGCGGCAGTATCTGGCCGTCTCTGTCTCATTGAAAAGTCTGAAGACATTGACAACTTCGTCGACGGCTCGATCATGGTGACTAAATCGACCGACCCGGATTGGGTGCCTCTAATGAAGCGGGCCACGGCTATCATCACCGACCATGGTGGCCGTACTTCACATGCCGCCATTGTAAGTCGCGAGCTCGGCCTCCCAGCCGTGGTGGGCACAGGAAATGGAACATACGTTTTACACACAGGCCAAGACGTAACTGTTTCCTGTGCCGAGGGTGACGAAGGCTTCGTCTACGAGGGTACCAGCGAAATTTCCACCCAAACAGTGGACCTAGCCGGCCTCCCAGCAGTTGATACGGATATTATGATCAATCTCGCTAACCCAGCGGCGGCTTACCGCTGGTGGCGACTTCCGACCGATGGCATCGGCCTTGCTCGCATGGAGTTTGTCGTAACCAATTATATTCGAATTCATCCGATGGCGCTCGTCCACTTTGATCAGTTAAAGGACGACAAATCCAAGGAAGAAATCGCGCGATTGACAGCTGGGTACAGTAACAAGCCTGAATACTTCGTCGACAAGTTATCGCACGGTTTTGCGGCCCTTTGTGCCACGGTATACCCCAAGCCGGCCATTCTCCGTATGAGTGACTTCAAGACAAACGAGTATGCTGGCCTCATCGGCGGTTCTCAGTTTGAGCCGAAAGAGGAGAACCCAATGCTTGGCTTCCGCGGGGCCTCACGCTACTATTCACCGCTGTACAAAGAGGGGTTCGAGCTTGAATGTCGCGCCATCAAGAGGCTGCGCGAGGAGATGGGCTTCGCAAATGTCATTGTTATGATCCCTTTCTGCCGGACAATTAGCGAGGCAAAAGAAGTACTAAAAACTATGTCCGAGAACGGGCTTAAACGTGGTGACAAGGGTCTCCAAGTATACGTCATGTGCGAGATACCTTCCAACGTCATCATGGCCAATGAATTCTCTGAGTACTTCGATGGGTTCTCAATCGGTTCAAACGATCTGACACAACTGACGCTCGGTGTCGACCGCGACTCTGGTGAGCTGGCAGGCCTCTTCAATGAGCAAGACGAGGCTGTCAAGTGGATGATTGCTCGGGTAATCATAGTTGCTCGCAAGGCGGGTCGTAAGATTGGCATTTGCGGGCAGGCCCCAAGCGATCATCCGGAATTCGCCAAGTTCCTAGTGGAAGCCGGTATCAACTCGATCTCGGTCAGCCCTGACAGCTTTGTCCAAGTGAAAAGACAAGTTCTTGAGAGTGAGAGGAAACGACTTGATTTGATAGCGGACGAACATATCATGCTTTAATATTAAAGGGATATCTTTTCGGCGAGATTTTTTTCAAAACAAGTCAAAAGTTCAAATCCATTTTGTATCCTAGCTTTGTACCTCCTTACTCCTCCGTCCACACACTAAGATGTCTTCATAAAATTTTTGTTTCAAATGAGATCTCACCTTGATGACCATGGTTGCGACGCTTTGAATTTTTTTTCACGCTTATTGATTCTCACGGACTCTCTTGAGTGTATCGCTTAGAATCTCCACCGAGTCGCGTATATCAGCCTTCTCGTTACTATTTGTTGCCATTTCAACAGTCCTTATGATTCCGCTTCTTCCAAGGGCCGCGGGCAAGCTGAAACAGCAACCCCACTCTGGTTGGAAATGGCTAATAGGATAGACATCTCGTTTGTCCATTAGGATCGAAGAGCAGATTCTGGACAGGGCGGAGCCAATTCCAAAAGATACTGTTCCTTTCGCTTGGATAATCCTTTGGGATCTGTGTTTACACTCGTTGGCAAGATCTTTCGGGTTGAAAGTGTTGCTGGGCAGCGCTTTGTCAATGGGGACCCCGCAAAGTGTTGCCGTCGACCATGCAACAACCTCTGACTCCCCGTGCACTCCCAATACCTGAAGATCTATTGCATTTGCGGCGACCTAGATTCCAATTAGCCTTGCCTTGAAAGAAATTGTCGAACCATAAGAACATACTCCGGCTTTGTCTGCTAACATTCCGCGAAGCCTTACTGAATCAAGAAAGGTTCCCGAGCCCAGCACCTGAGAGGCTGGTAGTCCGGAATGCTCTTGAGCGAAGGAGGTGATAAGGTCGACGGGGTGTGCCACGATCAGTAAGATTGTGTCTGATCTGAATGGCTTCATTGCGTTGGTGATGCTCTGAATAATGGCGACCTTCTGGTACATGTGCTGGATCGTAGTTTCGCCTGCTGAATAATTAGAAAAAATCTTCTTCGTATCGTATCTCCTACCTCTGTAAGACTTTGATCCGGCGGTGATGACCACAACATCGCATTGGCCTGCTTCATGGTGTGTGGCTGCTCGGACGCGGGTTCCGCTATTGCAACTGTAGCTTACATCGGAGAGGTCCCGTACCTGGCCGTCTCTCAAGTCGGGTTTGGTATCGACCAAGAGCAGCTCACCAGCGGTGGAATTTAGGATTAGCGCGTAAGCAAGAGCGGCGCCAACCTGGCCCACACCGATTATTGCAATCCGAGTAATCGCGTTTGAATCTCTAGAGAGCATATTGCGGACCTAAGTAGAGCATACGACCCCTGTGGTGATCTGAAGATTGTTAAGAGGCGCTTGGATTGTGTAAGAGAAGTGGAATTCCGTTTCTTGCGGGATGATACTGGTTTATGTGGTAACGCCGGTAGGTTGGAGCTTTGTTCCAAAACTTGTCTATGATATCATCAGTTTACTATCCAGTTCGTAGCTAGCGGGCGAACTTAGATTGCTAAAGATTCAGACCGAGGGTTAACCTCAGAGTACCAAATTTGCTAGGAGTACATCGCTTGATGGTTAGCTTTACTATAACGGGAATGAGGAAGCTATAATCGTCTAGCCCCGTCTGCGTCTACTAACCACAAGACCTTAAAATCAGAAAATGCTATTTCTCTACCATACAAATAGTGCCTTCATCCTTGCATCCAGGTGTAGCGAAAGATCGAGTCAAAGAAAACATATGAGCAGGAAATTTAATGAAATACTCAAAGGTATAAAGTATAGATAGAGTGATGGGAACAGCTGTTGAGGGATAATACATTGTTACGTAGGTGGACCTTACCGATCACCAATCATCGACCAAAGATTTAGGAAACTATGTAGAGTTAGGGAACGAATTTCTTACGTCATAATGTGATGACAAACTGTACATGGATATCTCCAATGGAATCAGTTCATTGATTGAGGAAAGATGAGAACGGTCGAAGGCTCCCAAAGGTCTATATCATCGTGACGCGGTATATTGCAATGCTCTGAAAACGGTTTAAATGCTAGATAGTAGAGAGTGTCTAATTGATTAAATGCGACCAATATTTATTACTAGTTATAGCGTAATTATACGAAGGAGTTAGGACCTAGGGTGAAAACTATAGATTATGTAGCGAAATGCCGCATAAACCCAAAATCAAATTTGGGGATTGTTAACGCGACACCCCTGCCTGATTTTTCAGTATTCAATCTTACTAATCAAGCATCGATTTAATTTTGCCGGACTTAATTCTGGACTTTGGAATTTTGGTTTACATAGTAAAAAACATGCATTTTGATGAGAAGAAAATTTCATTGCAATAGATTGTTACTTAATTTTGTTAAGGGTTTACATACAAATTGTACAGTGGCGTTGCATGAGTATTTGCACCCCGGTACCTCTACCATTGACCGCTCTGTGAATACCGCCTGCCTATTCCTATTATTATAGGAGCCACCCGCATAGTGCGACTGGCTGGGAGTGAGTACGAAGTTTTTCCGGCAGAAAATAGGGCCCCCCCGAAGTACTGGGGTGCAAATACTCATGAAACATGACTGTAAGTACCTATTGTACATGAGGTTTGATAGGAAGGCGGTAAGAAAGGCGGGCAATGGTGGCCCGAAAAGTCAGGCAGGGGTGTCGCGTTAACAACCCCCTTAAATTTCAGACGAAACCGATTAAGCAAACCAATTGATCAGACAAATTTGCGTATTTACGGGTAGATCAGACGAACTGGTAAGGCAATCTTCTAGCTTCATGTTTTTTATTAGAATATAACCAGACTAAATAAGCGATTAAAAACCGCACGATCAAGGGAGCTTTGTGTTCTGGCTCCCGCTTGCAGCACATTCTAGTCGGTAAATTAACCCGACGAAACAAACACCTTCATCTGCTTCTTGGTTGCTTTCAGCAAGACAGCTAAAAAAATCAAGATTGAAACTCGTCATTCAGATCCTGCACAATCTCACATCTCGAGGTCTTTGCAATGACCTTGGGGAGCGGCCATGACCTATCCGACCGTTAGTACATTTGAGAATGATCGTTCTAACGGACCTCGGTGCTACGACACCCACCACCGGTAATATTAGTGTATACATGTACGCAATTTGAATAAATGAGATTAACGTTGTGCTCCGGATTCAAGACCGGGATCAAGTTCTCGTTGTTTGCAACAATGTCCAACGCAAGGGCCCGCTGTTTTCAACGGGAGAATGCGAGGAATGCGAGGATTGTGTGGCTTAGCAACTATCAAGGAGTTCAGCACGGTCTGTTTATAATGCTGCAGGGAGGCATTTTCTGGACACGTTTTTTTTTGGAGAAAGTCTTTCGCTTCAATATCGGGTTCATACTCCAACCAACTCCACAAAATGACACACACGAAGTCCCTGTTCCTGACTTTGATGGGTGCTGCTGCTCTGAGTCAGGCAGCTAAAGTTCATTATGATCTTGACCTCACATGGAAGAGGGGCGCACCGAACGGAGTCGAGAGGGAGATGATCTTTGTCAATGATCGTTTTCCAGGCCCGCCATTGATTCTGGATGAAGGAGATGAAGTCACAGTGGGTTGTCCTGCTTTATTTTCAAAGCGCATACTGAGAGAAATAGATAGACGTGACCAACAATTTGCCCTTCAATACATCTGTCCATTTCCACGGCATTGAGTAGGGCCTCCGGAAATTCCTCTTCGATTACCGCACAATACTGAACCACAACAGGCAAACCAACACCCCATGGGCGGACGGAGTATCAGGACTATCGCAATGGGCCATCAAGCCCGGTGACAAATACCGATACCATTGGAAAGCCACGACCTATGGTACTTACTGGTACCATGCCCACGACAAGGACAGAATAATGGATGGTCTCTACGGTGGAATTAGAATTCGGTGAGTATGCAGCAGCATGTATTTATTATGTCTCTAACAAGGAATCAGTCCGTCTGCCGACCGAGAGTCACCATTCTCAATGATTTCTGATGACCCTGCCGATATCCAGGCAATGACAAAAGCCGCCCATGATGCCCAGTTGGTCGTGATGTCTGACTGGGACCATCTTTCGTCCAATGAATACATGGATGCACTGAAAGAAACAGGCTATGATATCTTGTAAGGACCCAAATATGATAGCCAAAGAAGTACCGCACTCACAATCACCAGTTGCTCAGATAGCATTCTCATCGATGGTGCAGGCTCTGTATACTGCAAAGACCCTGAATATTTGACAAACCTCCAACCACCCCAGGTCAGAGCAGTCATAACTGAGCCTTTGACGGATAAGGGGTGAGTCTATACTTTACTAGGCTGATTTGAAAGCCACTAACACTTGCCAGATGCGATCCCTTCATGCCAGTTCTCCAAGGTAACTGGGAGCACCACCCAGAGCTCCTTCCCGAGGGATTGAACTCCGGATGTAAGCCCAGTGAGGGTCCAACGTCCTCCTTTGAAGTATCACCCAAAAACCGATGGGCTAGTTTGAACTTCATCAGTGCAGCAAGTCTCAAATCGTTGATCTTCTCCATTGATGAGCACCCGATGTACATCTACGAAGTGGATGGACGCTACATTGAGCCCCAGCTTGCGCATCAGGTTTCCATTTACAGTGGAGAGCGCTACTCTGCCATGATCAAACTCGACAAGGAACCCGGCAGCTACACGATCCGTGTCGCTGGTCATGATAACCAGGTCATCTCTGGCTACGCTAACCTCGCCTACAAGGGCGGTGAACATAACAAGCGCGAATCAACGGCATATATCGACTACGGTGGCACTAACACTACAGCCTCTGTGATCAATCTGAACACAACGAACCTGCCGCCATATCCTGCTATCCTACCTGCGGAGGACGGCGATGATTTCCATCTCCTGACCCTTGGACGGATCAACTCATCCTGGGAATGGACTTTGGATGGGACGACCTTCCTCCCAGCCAATTTGAACCAAATGGAACCAGTGATTCTCAACCCCAAAGCACCGAGCCTGGATTCTGCCCTGAAGATTGAGACCCGGAATGGCACCTGGGTCGATATTGTGTTCCAGCTCGCCATCCCCGACCCAACCAAGCTTCAGCCACCCCACCCGATGCACAAGCATTCCAACAAGGCCTTTTTGATTGGCAGTGCAATGGGCAAGTTCCAGTGGGGCTCTATCGCGGAAGCAAAAGCAAGCAGCCCGGACAGCTTCTTCAAAACCCCTGTGTATCGCGATACATTTGTGACTGCGCCAAATGGAGTGGCCTGGATCGCTATTCGCTACCAAGTCGTGAACCCAGGACCATTCCTTTTGCATTGTCATATGGAGACGCACTTCTCGTCGGGTATGGGCATGGTCTTGCTGGATGGTGTCGATGCTTGGCCCGAAGTTCCTCCTCACTACCTATAGTGTGTTCTATGATTTTTCTATCCTGTCTTTGATGTATGCGATTTTATCTTTCTAATTGGCTCCTTAATAATAATCATCTGCCAACGTTCAACCTGCTACTAAAATACCACTGACGTCATTGTTTGTTTATGGAACGGGCTCTCGACCTACATATCGGTGAATATGAGTTTAGGCCAAAGACGGTAGTGGGACTGGCATCATCATCGGACTCGTAGTCATGGGTAACGCCTAAGCTCCAGAAACTTGGCCACGTGACCTCATCTGGTCACCTGACTATGCATCAAACGGGAGAAAACTTGGCCACGTGACACGTACTTCTAGTTTGCCTATACTTGCTTCGCTTCGCTCCGCAATTAAAGCAGTGGAAACTTCTAGGGTAGGGGGTGCAATTACCGTAATTTACGGAGACTCATAGGAGGAACATGGATAGGTTGAAGTCGAGCGGAAAGATATCTTAATCTGGACTATTGCATTTGGAGTAGGGGTAAAACTGATTTCGAATATCACTGTAATCCTTTTGATGACTGTAATTAGGTAGCTTGTGAGCTCACTAATAACTGGCGTCCTAAGATGACCGACGTTCTGGTTGATTCTATTACAATGTAAACTATTAGCCTCTTCCTCAAAGTCCGTGCGACAACTCTCTACAAGGAGACTTCCACAATAGGACCCTTGTAGACGTGCCGGGCGCGCACGACATAGTATATAATTGCGAGGAAGACGCTGCCTCCTATCGCCAGAATGCTCCAGTTCATCGTCTCCACTGTCGGGTCCATTGTACTTGGCCAGAAGCTGAAAAAGATGACGATGCTGATGTAGATGATCGCATACCCGTTGATCAGGGTACCAATGATGCCGGGGCAGTGGAACGGTCCCCAGACAAGCTTCGCACCGGGAACATTGACAATATCATCCTCGTTGTCGTTATATCGGGAGATGTCACCACGGATGCGGCGGTAAAAGAGCAAAACAGAAACCATTAAGTAAGAAAGGTATATACCCGAAACTGCCATGGACACTATGTCCTCCATAGCGGTATCGGAACCAATGTTAATCAGGGAAAGCAACACAGCGACGGTCACTGTCAATAGGATGGCGAAAATGGGCAACTGTTTCGTGGAAGAAACCTTGAATAGCAGAATGTTAGTCCATACAAGACTTCTGATGATAGCTAAGTGCTTACCTGGCTCCACCATCGCCACCCGGGGACTCCCCTGTCTCGAGAAAAAGACCAAAGCTGCCGAGACGCCGCAGCAAGTAGGCCCATGAGAGAACAGACATAAATGGTGATAACGATAGCACACATGGCCAATGAACCAGGCACCGAGTTTGTTGCTTCCATGAAGATGCCCATGAAGTTATACCCAGTGGCGCTCCCCAGCTTACCACCGAGGTCAGAGTCGGTGCAGAACATCATAACAATTATCATACCAAAGCCGAGGCAGCCATTGATACCGACACTAATCATAAGGGCGTTGGGAATAACGGTCGAGGCATTTGCGACCTCTTCGGACATCTATTTGGAGGTTTATTAGCTAGAGACGTGGAAGCATAACTCCCAAAGAAACTTACATGCACGGCGGCATCACCTCCAGCGAAGGCAAAGGCACAGCTGGTCATACCAACAAACCAGGATAGTCCTTGCGTGGCGAAGCCTCCTCCATTTTGGAAAGATAGAAAAACCTGCTCCTTTGTGTTATGATCCGCCATATAGATGAGGGGGATTATGATGCCGAAGAACCCAAGAATGTGCACAACCAAAATGATCACCTCGATGCGGGGCAGCAAGTTGCCGGGGAGCAAGTTCACGACCAATGCGAGACTGAGCGAAGCCCAAACAATCAATGTTCCTTCCCAGGGAAGAGCATTGTAGAGGTTATTTCCTAGGATCGCGGCACCCTGGATCATCTTTCCTGTCAAAAAGGCACAGGCGGCGAAGGCACTCTGCCAGCCGAGAACAGCAAACCATCCTATGGGCACAAGTGTCAGCGATAATGAATAGTTTCGGTCCGAGTATGAGGTAGAAGTTTACCTGTAATAAAACTTAGGAATTTCTGGTGACTGCCCGGGGCAAGCATGGCAGCCCAGTGGTATTGGCCTCCTGCGGTAGGTGCCCTGTTTGACAATTAGGTCCGAATTTAGCCGTAAATCAACGAATAATGCAACATACATGGAGGCCAATTCCGACAAGACCATGAAATTGGCGAAACAGCCAACCCACCCGAAGATGTAGGCATAGATCGCACCGCCGGAGCCACCGCTGATATATGTTAGAAAATGTTGCAAGGCAGCAGGTTGTTGTCGGGTGAACACACTTTGTCAGAGGGCCAGTAAAAGTACTGGAGACCGATCAGCGATGTATTCAGTGAAAATTTACAATTGAACTGGCTCACCCAAGCAGACCTTCCCAAGTTCCCAGAATAGTACAGCTGAAGCCAAGGATCGACAGAATACCGAATTTTCGCTAGTCGGAAGTGTCAGTAGTATGGTCAGGTGAGTTACCTTGAAGCCTGTATTTCATACCTTAAGGACTGGCCTCTTTCCCATCCGCTGGAGATGCGCATTATCACGATCCACCTGCCCCTCGCCCCTGCTGGTGACGGAAGTATTGCTCTTCAATTCATAGGCCACCATGGCTTTTTTGTAGAGGAATGGAATGGAGACAAGTGGGAAGTGAACAGAAAGTTAAATATAAGATGCAGCTGGGTTGAAAGTACAAAAACAGGCAAGGAAATGTCCATCGCCCAAGTATCGGAATGCGGGTGGACGAGTATCCGATTTGACTAGATGGGTGTACGTTACATCGACTAGAACTGAAAGTACGTGAGTGGATGACGCTAATGTATGATTGTTTTGATTTGATTGCGGGCGCTCTGCGCTCTGCGCTTCGCCCCAAGGAGGGCTAGGGCCCATCGTGTTCTATGTGTCGATCGTGTGGATCACACGCGGGAATGATTCCCCAGGAAGCGCAGCATACCCAATTGAATACGCCACAGTCAATCATGTGGGGCATATATCGGTGATTGCTACCCATAGGGCAACAGTCAATTGATGCTTGTATGAAACTGATAAGGGCAGATATGACCATACTCGGCCCTAAAAAGGTACCTTGATTTTGTTGTGGTCTAGTAGTAAAATGGCTGTATCATATTCCACGGGTTGACCTAATGCGAGGGGCCGGGGGCCAGAACTCAGGGGTGAATCCTTCGAGTACAGGGGGTTGAACGTGATAAGTGTGCTGGATATTACCATATCGTTTTACAATAATTAGTCACTGTGAGAATAAACACTGATCAGTGTCAAAGTAGGGAAAATGTAATGTAGAAATCAGAGCAAACACATATAGAACACATATAGAACACAATGCATATATAGAGATCGATGGACTGGAAACACAAGATTGGAAGCCCTAGAGGAACTATAACATCTCTTTGAAGATCTTCATATGCATAGTATATTAGACTGATAGGTACTGGAATGGGATTCGCATCCTAGTCGCTTTTTTCTGGGCACTATACGGAGTACCAGACGATATAATAAAAAGCACAAGGCATGTTTTCTCTTCAGCATGATGATCTCTAATACTCTCATCCTTCTTCTTTCTTCTTAAGTAATCCACCATTCTTCACATATTTCGGCTCAATGGGGACACGATTCAAAGGTGACACTAAAGATCCAGCGGTCAATGTCACTACATGGGTTCTCTTAGTCATAATCATTTTTAGTGTCTCTGCTCGACTTGGAACTAAAGTTCGACTGTTCAAGAGACTCAGCACGGATGACCTCTTGATCATTGCATCTCTGATTGTCGGTATCGGTCAGAATATCGCTGTTTCACTGGCAGTTGGGTCCGGTTATGGAAAGCATTCCAAAGATGTCTCCAGCGCCAATATGCAACAGGTGATGAAAGTACGTATCTTCCGCCACCTTGTGATTTTTCACTTCTTTGGAACAGATTTTAATGTGCTTGTTGCCAGGATCTTTTCGCTGTCTCTCTTCTGTACCTCCTAAGCCTCATGTTCTCGAAACTATCTCTGGTCGTGTTTATCCGGAGTCTTACACCATCCGCCAAAGATAAATGGCTCGCCCGAGGTGTGGAGGCTATCGTGTATGTCTGGGCAGTTGTTGCTATCTTTGGAACTGCATTCCAATGCTCTCTGCCCCGCGCCTGGGACTTCCAGAACGGCCAATGCATTAACCTGGTAGGTAGTGTCTCCTTTTGTCCCTATTACCTCCTATCCCCCGAAGCCGGACAATACTAACGCGAAACGACGGGTGTCCAGTTAACTTGGCGCTACTTCGTCGCTATCTCCAATATCGTTACCGACCTCTTGATTGTCGCTCAGGCAATGATCCTAATTTCTAGCGTCCAAACGACGCTGTTGCGACGCCTGGCTTTTGCGGGTATCTTCCTGCCTCGACTTCTGTGAGCGACCCGGCTCTACGGAGTGCTCTCTCTTGAACTCGAAACTCATCTCCCTCCGTCGATAGTGTAACGATCGCAACGGTCGGCGAGCTTGCCTTTATCAAAAAAGGCACTGAATCCAACGACCCAACGTTTCAGATGTGTGAAATCACTATTTTCGAAGTGGCCATTCAGTGTCTCAGCATCGTGACGGCCTGTTGGGGACAACTGAGCCCGTTCCTGTCCTGGATGCGATCTAACGGGCTCAAGCTCAATGGTGTGGAAGACCCAACCTCGTGGAGCTATAAGATACGCTCACAATCCCAGGGGCGGTCCAAGTCGCGAGACCGTAAGATCAGGTCTGAAAGCCACGAACTTCCCCCTTTGCTGATACGACGAGATCAGATTTTGGTCACACAGGATTGGGAGCTCGACAGCCAGTCAAGTCAGGCGCATATAGTAACTGAGTTCGACACACAATCCTAGGCTAGCAACGGTGGCAAGTGCCAAGCGGTTCCCTAATCAACTTAGCTAATGACTATAAATTCATCATGGGCGCGACATGCATAGACTTTGGTAATCCCCAAATCACATGGAAATTACGTGCTGGAATTAAATCGGAAAATAATCAGAATAATGAGCACATGCCGCGTAATGATGGCTCCCGTTATAGAGACGCGCATACTATATGTAGTGTGCTTTTTCACCTTCCAAACGAACCTTAGGGACGGATCTGGTTCCATTCGCAATCGCGATCGAGCCATCGTATGATGGGAGATGGGGCTGTCGCGGGCCAACGCATAAAATTCTATACTACCGGACCCAACGCACGGCCCGAAACCCCGATTGGGGTGTTGGGGCCGCACCCTGTAGAACAGTACTTTTGTGTAGGATGCTTAAACCTCAAAGGGGTTAGTGGAGAAAGCGCAGGGCGGAGTGCTGGCCAACGCAGTAGCTAGGTTTCTCTTTCGTTCAGGCGTGCAGGAAACCCTTGCAACTAGCTGTCTTATCGGCTCGCACCTCTTCCCTCCCCGCTCCTCGAACCCCTTGAAACGTATCTCAACGTCCCGACGACCATTATGCGGGTTTTATTGTCACTTGGGGGCCATATTCCTTTCTTTGTCAATTGTATTAAACAGGTCTACTGTCACGATCTGCATGATTTACCTATCATATCACGTAATGCTAATTAGAGCTGGTTTGATAACTATTTTTTTTTGCTAGTTTAGTAGTTTTAGCGAGAGGTTGGTTGATATATCTACCCTCCGAAGTAGATTCTTACGTCTTGCTCTTTTCTTCCCCATCACGGAATATATTATTTTGAACTAAGTTACTCTTTACAAACTTGGCTCGGCACACCTACCCTAGTGCAAACGTTTTAGTCACCGCCCTTTCGCTAGACATTTGAACACATATCCAGCCGGATTTCAATATGGGGTCGGCAACCAATCCTCTCGTGCTAGAACTAGCGACACCAGAAGATGTCCCTGCCATCACTGAGCTATGGTTTGCTGCCTTTACGCAGCCAGTGATTGGGAAACTTTTCCCCAACACTCCCGGTATGCACCAATGGCACCGGGATTGGCACTTGGGGGACATTCAGAAGTCCCACTACAGATACCTCCGAGTAGTGGACACCCAGTCAAGAGATGAAAAAGGCCGACCGCGGCTAGTTGCCTTTGCCAAATGGGACCTAGCCATGCCAAATGAGCGAGGTCGTCGCTTTCCGCATTGGCATGAGGACTCGCCTTACCAGGAATGCGAGGATTTCATTGCAGAACTGGAGCAGGCGAGGGAGAACGTCATGGGCGATGAGAAACATTACTGTATGAATGATATCCCTTTAAGGTTCACAAAGGAAGAAATGATCACTGACATCCGAAACCGAAAAAGACCTCGATACCCTTGGCACTCATCCTGATTATCAACGGCGCGGAGCTGGCTCTATGCTTGTCAAGTGGGGCTGCGACCTGGCAGATAAGGATGGCGTTATGGCATACGTGGATGCCAGCAAGGAGGGAGCATTTCTATACCAGAAACATAACTTTGTGGATTTCAGTCCGCCTGGTTCGGAAGTGGCTTCGATGGCTCGCCGCCATCAGGTGGTTCCGAGCGATCACACTTGACTTGACTTACGAACTCTGAGTCCATGCTGCGAGATATCTCATTGAAGATAAAGCCATAAACACATTTGAACTCACTGGTTCGGATTGTAGCTCATTTATTGTTATGTTTCTGTCTAGCAAGTATATATATATTTTATGCCTTTCCCCGCCTTTTTTGCTGTCTACCTAGCAAGAACAAGATACCTTAACAGAAGGGCTACTCACACACTATTTTTCGCTAGTAACACACATCCACTAGCTCTCAACCAGCTTGTGTAAATTACTGTGGTATCCTGCCTATCACATGACTTACGACCGTACTATGAAACAGGATCAGGTGATATTACTTCACGTGATTTCAAGTTGTGGAGCCGCAAACCTTAAATGAGCGCATCCATGGGTGAGTCCCAAGTCCCGGATAGAGCTGAGATCGAAACATTTGGTATAACTCCGGGGCTTGATGACAGCGTTATATTTGATCACCCAATCGTCTATTATGGCAGACCATCATCTCTTGTTGAAACCTTTACATAATTAGGAGAGAATGTTGATATTTTTGTTCCAAATATAAAATATTTCTGAAGCGTCATTTTCACTTGATTTCTATTCTACTCTGCGCTAAACTATATGTTGAAGCGGTAAATCCACAATGCGTAGTCTGACAAAGCAGACAAGACAAATAATACCAGCCTTCCAAGTAGGTCAGCTGGCAAGTATAGGAGACCATGGGACCTGCATTTCTCAAAACATTATTCTCGTTCAGTTTGTGGGTGATGATACTTCTATGAGTGTGGTAAAACTGGAAATACGGTCTTAAAAACAGGGCAACTACATCATCATCCCGATTTTCTTACTACAATGTATACAATGTTTTAGGTATCTCATACTCATTACGTGCTACGAAAGAGGTTAGAGCCAGATTGAGGTAAAAATAGGCTTTTGTACTCGTTTCAACCCTGCTTTCTATAAATATAAGAAAAGCCCGCATATTATTGATAAAAAGAAGAATCGTGTCCCAATCTATAGCAAGAGCTGTTAGCACTTCCAGACAAGCCCATTGCATCAACAAAAGAAAAATGCAGCAAATATAAGGAATCTCTAATATCTGTGTATATTTTCGGTAAATGGTAGATCTAGATTTTAGTACACGCAGAGAATCTGACCTATATCGGGTTAGAGTCTTGAACCTCAGGTTGGAGAAAAGTTATTACCGATTGACCATATAGAAGAGGAATTTCACCCGGGTGTGACGTGCTAGATGTGAGAGTGTATCGATTCAAAATAAGGAATAGGTAGGGAGAAATAGAGATAGAGCAGGTGCAGAAGTTGGAGAAGGCCTGCTTGTATAGCTGGCCACTTCTGTAAACATGTAAGCATTGAAGAGAAAACCCTGGAGCGGGGACAGGGGCACCGACAGCCTTGCCTGCGAAACAGGTGCGAGAGAAAAGCCGTCACTGGGAGTACTAGGGTGCTAGAGAGGAGATTCAGGAGAATACCATGGGGTGACTACTGAGAGGAGAAGTGAAAAGTTGTCTGCATTGCTATCTATGCCTCGGGAGTGCTTTTATAGTTAGTTAATGCAGTAGTTAGTTGGGTTAAGAAACAGATGGACGAGGCAAATTAATCCCAAATATATGTTATATTACTGAGCGAAGCGAGGAAACCTGTTATTATATATGTCTCATCAACTAGTAAACAAGCACATACGACCATAGGGTGTGGAAAACAGGGCTTCCCGTCCGCTCAGCCGTACTTAAGCCACACGCCGGTGAGTTAGTAGTTGGGTGGGTGACCACCAGCGAATCCTCACTGTTGTATGTTTTTTGTTCACGCATTCTTTTCTATTCGTTCAGAAGCTCCCTCTTTTTCTGATGTTAGATATCCGCAGGTCGGAGAGCATGGGAAAATATGTGACACCAGGATGAGTCGTTCACCTGGTGGACCTCAATTTCAAGGACGGTCTTCCGTCATCTCCCAAACTAAGTTGATTTCTACTAGATACGTCTCTATCCTCTTCACCCAACATGGATATAACCTGGTCTCAACTGGGACACAGCTTCCACGGTCAACAAGAACTCAAGATGCAAGCTACGGAAAAGCCGACTCAATCAGGAATTGACTTGACCCTACCTGAAGAGAAAACTCAAGATGCAGGGGGTGCTGTGGCCGCAGCTGCGAATGTTGCGTTAATCGCAAGATTGATAAGACACGGCAGCTTGGAACTGGACTTTCTACGGTGGTATGTGGATGTTGTCACCAAGCTCGGGGTTTTGAGCTTACTAAAAAAGAAAAGATGGGATTCCTTACAAATTTTCATGTCGTGGACGACGGCAGTGGCTACCGCCGAAGGATCAATCGAGCTTCAATATGGGGATTATCTCTTGATGGTCATGACAGTCCTTTTGATGTGATTGTGATGCCTCCAGGATGCGAGAAGGTTGTTCCAAAGAGCAGCTGATAAAAGGCAAGGCTGAACAAGTCGATGAAACGTTTATTCTTATTGGCGAAGAGGAGAAGGAGAAACTTGGCGAGGTGCCTGCCTGGTCTCCATGATTTCTTTGCAAACTCTTTCTTTTGTCTGTGAATGCTCTTGCTTTGGTGGTCACGGGCCGATCACATGCCGTTACCTGGTTTGTCAGGCTTCACCTAGCTATTTAGCTAATTAACTAGTTCTCGATCATTGTAAAGAATCTATCCTTCTTCATCTCTCTCTCGCCGCTACAAGAGCTCTGATCTAAACTGGCAGTTACCCCCGAGGTTTAACCTCTGTATGTTTTCTTCCTATTCAGGAACAGTCGTTCCTGCTATTCTAGTTCACGGCTCACGTGCACCTTGCTACCTGTCAGAGCACTTTTAGATTCTGTAAGCTTCCCCATCAGCATCACTCGATAGATTCATAAAAAAAGAGCCATCTGAGATCGTAAGTCTCCCTCGCAGTCTTTCCAGCAGTCTTTCCAGCAGTCTTTCCACCAGTCCTTTTGAGGGGTTCGTTTTGCTAACGTCTATCTAAGATGTCTTTTGCCTCTACTGCCCCTGTCACTGAGCCCTGCGCGTCCTCCACTATCCTTGCCCTTCAAGAGGCAATAACCGAAGTCCTGTTGGCCCTTTCCCCACACGAAACCATATGGTTTTTATGGCAGATGCTCGGCCTATATATATGTCTGTTGTTTGCATGGAGGGTTGATCAACTTCTTGAGAATATGATTGACCAGTATGTCTCATTTTTTATGGAGCTCTGTGAAGTCGGATACTTACAGAATTTACAGTTATATAGAATTTACAGTTATTGTCCACCTCGGAACGCTGTAGCACGCCGAGCACTGTGATGTAGAGTTCTAGAGAGCAGGCAGTGTAGACGGATCATCACCCCTGAAATGAGAAATGAGTTGCGAGATACTTCTGCACTAGGAGATTGTATACTATGGTGTGGTCTATGTGATACCTATGCTTGCTAGCCGGCCGTCCTGGATGGTTGGTGTTGTTGTGTCGCTCTCGTCTTGCCCTGCTTGGTCAGGCTGCCCATCGTGCATATCCCTCTTCGTTATAAAGATTGATTTCTTATTGAAATTTGGTAGAAAGGCAAGAACTCCTTGTATTTTTTTAAACCCATTTTATTCGGATTCATCAATCCGATAGACTAGCTTAGAGGCTCGGACTTTACCTTCCCGTAATATCTGAATACCAGCCAACGCACCGGCCAAGCTGCCTGACTTAATCTGATATGGATGGGGTTGAATGCGGCGGCCCTCGAGTAGGTTCTGCGCTGTATCCCACCATTTGATGCCGAATTCAAGGTTAGCACTATCAGGGGATATCTCGGTCGTTCCCATGCGATAGGCTTCCCCCAGGATGTCGTACGCCATTGAGACATGCGAGTCAACGTCTTCTCTCGCGGATGAAACATCTAGCAGGGCGTTATAGGAACCGCCCGCCGACGAAATGGCAGCGCTGCAGATGGCAGCAGATTGGGGCGTCGAGATTGTATCAAAAACGAATTCCAGGGCATCATCAGTATCCTCTCGGATCTGCTCTCCCACCAGTGGATCGTGGTAATCAAAAACTGCGTCTGCCCCAAGCTCAAACATGAAGCTGCGATTGGCTTCAGAGCATGTTGTGACAACTCGCAGTCCCGATAGTTTTGCCAATTGGATCGCGAGTGTACCGGTAGCAGTTGCCCCTCCATAGATTAGGATATTTGTGTCGTCTGACTCGCTCGACTGATTCCCGGGGAAAGGCAATTCCATGCTCTGATAAAGATTTTGACCAACAGTTGTCAAACCCACACCAAAGGTAGCTGCTGCCTCAAAGCTCATGGACTCAGGTATCAACATTTGGAGATCGCCCTTCGCAATAATATACTGAGCAAATGCGCCGCCATTGTGGCGAACGGCATTGCTACCGTGTACAAAGCCAGCAACTCGATCGCCCTTTTTGAAAGGCTTTTTGACGAGCGGCCCCACGGCTTCTACTATTCCGGAATAGTCACAGCCCACCGTGGCCCCGGTACAGGGTACAAAATCAATATGACGCCAGTCCGTTGGATTCAAAGCGACTTCGTACTTGTTAGTTCAACTATTCATCAAGCACGGGAGCGAAGAAGGGCACAAGGAGAAAATACCGGCTTTTGTTTTGACGAGAATGTAATTATCCGGCAGCCTAGGGAGTGGGACATCTACCAGCGTTGCGCGACCAGGTTCTTGGACGACAATGGCGCTTTGGGTGGTCATTCTCAACAGATGTCGCGATGCGAGGGAAAATGAGGGGTGCGAGAGAGGTGGGGGTATGGCTCTAATTTCTTTAGATAAATTGACCAAATGGCATTGGGGGTTGCAAAAGGGGTGTATACTATTGCACTCCGTGCGCAATTCTCCGTACGCGGCCTGGAATTACTCCGTAGAGTTGTCCATGATTCCGGGCGAGATTGAACTATTGGAGATCTCAGACAAAGTACGGTTTGCCGCGCGATAATCTATCTGGCTACTGCGTGTAGCTTCCAGGATCGTCGAAATACGGAGTATTGTAAGTGATCTGCGTGGAGGGGAGGGGCAAGCAAGTGTTAGTAGCTTCAATAAAGTCAATTAATCCATTACTATTGTCGAATGTGCTCCGCAGCCTAGAAGATCTCATCGTGATATTGAGACCGGGTAGCGCGGGCGATGCCAGTAAATGGTCCCTCAGTTACCACAGCCCAAACATCACCGACGCGAGATTAGACTCAATGATAATAGCCCAATGGATAGCCCTCGATATAGTGCAACAGGCAATATTGAGATTCTCCAAAATACATCCATGTCCTCCGTACGGAGTGCGGAGCAAGGGAATCGCAAGTACCCGGGGAGTCCGAAAAGTGGAACTTGTCGCAAATAGGGGGCTGGGAAAAGAAAGTCGTTGCTCCACTACGGGATGGGAATCCCCTCATGAGAAAAATCATAAGAAGAAATTCTGATAGGCGATCTTCGGCTACAAACATTGGCTTGGTGCAGCTTAGCACAGCTTAGTGTCATAATATAGTGGAGCATGGAACATTTGGCAATCGTGAAATACAATGACCGATACTGGTAATGGCTTGTCACAGTATAATTTATAACGTATGTCTGGTCTATCTTAAGGGATGGACGATCCAGTTCGTTGATCTATGGAGTAGACAATCTCCACTTGGCAGCATTTTCGTAATCTTGGCCTCATTGGCATCCGAGCAGATTCCAACCTGCAGAATATCATGGAACTGGGTATAGAATCAGAGCTGAACAAGCATGGAGAATAAGATCCCACAGCATTAGCCATATCTATTGTTCCGGACTTGTTTCTAGCGTAGGAAACATAATCTTACCAAGCCAAACTCCAACGGATGTGCAGAATACGGAGTAGATTGAATGCACGAGGTGCATCGTCCGTTTTTCTATGAGTCTCCACTGCATGTTCTCCGATAGCCAGTAAAATATGCATGAATATACAAATTTACGCATTAATGGCATTAGCGCCGAGAGCCAGTTTCATGGCAATCAGAAGAATGCAAAACATTGAGTATAATAACCCACAGCATCCCTTCTTATTCTTGTCCACGCTCGTCCTCGATTAATTTTATACCCCGAAGATGCCTAGTCTACCAGCAACGACTTCTGTACCTACAGATATGGAGGGAATTGCAGTCATTGGAATGGGGTGTCGCTTCTCTGGAGGAGCGACCTCCGTTGAGAACTTCTGGCAGATGCTATGCGACGGACGTACTGGGCATGGGACAGTTCCCACAAGCCGATACCAAGCTTCGGCCTGGCATCACCCTAGCCATGAACGCAAAGGAGCGGTATGAATACCTCAATTAGATGTTAGTTTACTATTCTAACAGGATGAATAGATCAATCATGATAGTGGGTTTTTCTTGCAGGAAGATCCATCACGGTTTGACGCTCCTTTTTTCTCTATCACTGCCAAAGAGGCGGCGGGCATGGACCCAGCACAACGTTTGTTGCTCGAAGTTGCATACGAAACATTCGAAAACAGTAAGTTGAGTGATTTTCACGTTTCCGGAAAGAAGTCAGCTAATAGGGAAAAATAGGCGGGATACCGATAGACACGCTTCCAGGCAGTAACACGGCAGTGTACTCTGGTTCAATGACCAATGACTATGAGCTATTGTCAACAAGAGATATCTATGATATGCCTCACAACTCGGCTACTGGTAATGGAAGGACTATGCTGGCAAATCGGTTGTCATGGTTCTTTGATCTTCAAGGCCCAAGTATCATGATGGATACTGCGTGTTCTTCAAGTTTGACTGCGATCCACCTAGCAGCTCAATCCTTGCGGTCTGGAGAGTGCGGAATGGTGAGCACTGCAATCTGATGTCTATTGATCACACAGACTAAACATGCTTGTGACAGGCCTTGGTGACTGGTGCCAGTCTTATCTTGCACCCTAATTTTACACAAAGACTGTCCTACATGCACATGATGAGTGCAGATGGCATAAGTCATTCATTTGATGAGTCTGCAAATGGATATGGTCGGGGTGAGGGCATCGGTGCTGTGCTTTTGAAGCCCCTCAGCGCCGCATTAGCCGATGGAGATAATATTCGAGCCGTCATCCGCGGCACAGGAATTAATCAGGATGGCCGGACTCCTGGGATTACACTGCCCAGTCCAACGTCCCAAGCCAACTTGATTCGTTCGGTTTATGAACGTCATGGCATCTCAATGAGAGACACTTCCTACTTTGAAGCACATGGCACTGGAACTCCTGTCGGGGTAAGCAAAATAGCTCCATTGATGGATAAAAAGCCATCGTTTGATTAACTCAATGATGAATAGGATCCCATAGAGCTGTCTGCTGTCGGAATGACTTTGGGCCAGGCACGAACACCGACTGATGAGCCAATATACGTAGGCTCAGTGAAGACAAATTTCGGTCACACCGAAGGAGCCGCAGGAGTGGCTAGCTTGATCAAAGTCGTGCTGTGTTTAGAAAAGGGCACATTGGTGCCAAACGCCGGGTTCCAAAACATCAATCCCAAGATCCGGCTCGATGATTGGCGTTTACGCCTAAGCGACAAAACAATGCCCTGGCCAGACCATCTTCCGCAGCGGGCTAGTATCAACTCATTTGGATTCGGTGGATCAAATGCGCATTTGATTCTCGAAAGTGCCAAAGAAGCCCTGGGCAATGCTAAAGACCAGGAGCCGGCCCCTCATGTGGTGGTGTTTTCTACATTTGACCAAGCTGGTATCGAACGGACCGGTCAAAATTGGAGCACATTTCTTCAACGTCAACAAAAAGCCGAGCGGGAGGCTTCACTCAAAGATTTAGCCCATACGATGTTGACACGCCGATCGCAGTTAGGCTTCCGTAGCTTCGCAGTTGCTAACTCACAAGACCAGCTGCAGAGCATCTTGGATAAAGGATTGCCCAAATTTCCCCGAGCTAGTCGCAAAGCTCAAACAAGACTTGCTTTTGTGTTCACGGGTCAGGGTGGCCAATGGGCTGGAATGGGCCGGGAGCTTTTGAGGATTCCCACTTTCAGGGAAAGTATAGCACGATCACAGGAAATTCTTTCGTCCCTGGGATGTCCCTTTGATATGGTGGAGGAGATAAAGGCGGAGGCAAAAGACAGTCAGATAAACCGACCTGATCGCAGCCAGCCTATCACCTGCGCATTGCAGATTGCTTTGGTTGATCTTCTGGCCAGTTGGTCGGTTTTTCCCAACGCAGTGGTTGGCCACTCCAGCGGTGAAATTGGTATGCAAATCTCCGTTATTCTCGCTTCAAACAAGCATCCAATGATGAATAAAAGCTGACTTATTTGCAACACGTAGCTGCTGGATATGCCGCTGGGTATCTTTCTCGTGAAGACGCTATGCGAGTCGCATGGTTCCGCGGTTTCTTTTCGCAGCAGATTGCCCAGAGTGACAGACGAGGTGGTATGCTCGCTACTGGTATTTCTGCGGCTGACGCAAAGAAGTACCTCGAGGAGCTGCCTGCACGTTCAGTTGTGGTTGCCTGTGTCAATAGTCCTGCCAGTACAACCCTCTCGGGTGATGTGGAATTCATTGATCAGCTTGAAGCAAGATTACAACAGGATGGTCACTTTGCCCGGAAGCTGCGCATTGATACAGCTTATCATTCCCCTCACATGGAAGATCTAGTTAAAGTGGTAGGTAGTGCTATCGATTGTATCAAGCCTGAGGATCGATACAATGGCTCAATTCCCATGCTTTCATCGGTCACAAAAGAGCGTGTCTATCCCGCCGAACTTGGTGGATCATACTGGGTACGCAACATGGTCAGCTCGGTTGAGTTTACTGCCGCAGTGTCACAACTCGCAAACCTGAGCGAGTCTATCAAGTCTCGCCGACGGCCGGTTCCAATAAAATGGACCGCTTTGATTGAAATCGGTCCACACGCCGTTTTAAAAGGACCTGTCACTCAAATCCTGCAGTCTGTCAACGCAAATATGGCATCATTGCCGTACTATTCGTTGGTTTCACGGAACCAGCATGCTTTGCGAACAGCATTGGAAGTTGCTGGCTCGCTTTGGAGCACAGGACACACAATAGACCTTGCTGCGGTCAACAGCAGTGTCGATAATACAAGCCCAAAAATGATTCCAGATTTGCCTTCTTATCCTTGGAATCACCAAACGTCCTTCTGGCACGAGCCATTAGAGACAGCGCAGTTGAGACAACGTCAGCATCCACGTCATGATATTCTGGGAGCTGCCGTAGATTTTCAAAACGCTTTAGAGCCAAGATGGAGAAACTTCCTGCGACTCTCCGAGAATCCATGGATGGCCGATCATGTTGTCGCCGGATCGATTGTGTTCCCAGCCGCGGGAATGTTGGTGATGGCTACTGAGGCGGCGCGGCAACTAGCTGATAGCCCAGCCAACATCAAAGGAATAGAATTCCAAGACCTTCATTTTATGCGAGGGGTTGTTATCCCAGACGAGGAACGCGGCTTGGAAACTCTTCTTCAGGTCTCCCCTCATCCAGGGATGCCGGGTTGGTATCAGTTCGGAATTTTCTCACTTCCCTCGGGGGGTGCTTGGATTCAACACGCGAAGGGTGCATTCATTGCGCGATTCGAGAACCGAACCGACGATGAGCATAATTCAAACTGGCAAGCAGCGTTGGAACGCATCAAGAATACCCAAACAGTCGCCAAAATGGCTGACGTTGGACAAGCACGTGAATGGTTGTCTAACACAGGAGGACTCACCGTAGGACCGGCCTTCCAGACAGTCACTGGCGTTTCTTTTTGCGATTCAGAGTCTCGTCTCTGGCTATCCGGGGTCGTCACAGACACAAAACAATCAATGCCTTTCGAAAAGGAGTCATCCAGTTTTATCCATCCCACAACTCTTGATTGCCTCTTCCAGTCTGCCCTGTTGTCCTGCTCTGATGCATTATCCAGCAACAAAGCAAATATTCCGATCGGAGTGGACAATATCTACATATCCAATACGTTCCAACCCCAACCGGGGGAGCAGTTTGTCGTCCACACAGAGACCAAGTGGCGAGACGGGAAATCACAATCCCACTGTATCGCGTCGGACCCCACCTGGTCACAACCCTGGATCACGTTTGAAGGTGTTCATCTCGGTCGCCTTCCCTTCAACTCAAATTCTCTAAAGCAAGAGGAAGCATCTTCGGAGAGCCGATATTCGTCGATTGTTTGGGATGAACACTTGGAGTCGCCGCTTGTCACTAGCCAAATCAATGACGGAAACAAGAAGAAGGCCGTGCAAGCCAGCAGTCTCCAACTAACAGACTGGATCAAGAGATTGTGCTATACCAACGGGGATGCCAGAGCACTCATTACTACTTCGGACACATCCTCTTGGATCGCAAGTCTACAAGAGCTGATTCCAAGTGCCGGCAAGCGGCCGTGCCTAGGAAGGATGACAGTCGCTTCATGTGGCCACGAAAATCAAGTGGAGGGCGTCACTCCCACAGAGAACAGCCTCCCGGGAACTCACCTGGCATCCCTCACTACATTAAGCGAACTTCCATCTTCGTCGCTCGCTCAGGATAAATATGATTTGGTCGTGATCGATGAGCCCAAGTGGGACGACAAAATCATTCAAGTTATCCTATCGTGTCTGCCCACCATTCTTGAACACGGAGGTTTAGCAGCAATACGGGTATCAGGAACCAATCGAGACTCGGCAGCAGAGAAGTTGCAACGATTGGAAGGCCTTGAAATTCACAGCACGACCAAAGATCGCGAGTTTATCATCGCGCGCAGAACACCAGTCTCGTGGACTACAGACTCCGAAATCTATATTTTGAGTCCAGCCGACAAATCTAACACACTAGCTGTTTTCGAGCACCTTGGGAATATATTTGCCACCCATAACGTTCGTCTGGTGCCTGTTGAATTGGAACAGGTGGGTACACTAGCAGGAAAGACTGTGATTTCTTTGCTTGACTTGGCAAGTCCCTGGATATCCGGCTGGACGGAAAATGATTTGGAACGTCTCCAGGAGTTGATCCGAGTTAAATACGTTCTTTGGGTGTCCCCTTCCTGGAGCCAAGGGGCTGTTGAGAATATTGGATCTGGTGCCACAGGCGGCCTTTTGCGAACACTTCGCAATGAGCAGTGGAACACCACCATCCCACACCTATTGGTCGATGTGGAAGATTTGGAAGACAAGTTCGGACTAGCTTGTGGCATTCTCCAAGTCATGCAGCTCACGACGCAGGAGAGCTCGCGCCGGCCAGACTTGGAGTATCGTCTGGCAAACGGTCGGCTGCTAGTTCCACGGGTCATTGAGACTCCAACAGTGGATGAGGCCATGCACACTCTTATGAATGGCCCCAGGCCTGTGATGTCAGACCTTACACTTGATCCGAGACGCCTTGAGTTGAAGTTCCAAGATGCAGACAACGCACGCTGGGAGGAACAACAACCATTCGAAGAGGGACTTCGCACTGACCACATTGAAATCATGGTTGAAATGGCCACAATCTTCGATTTACATGGGGATCAAGGGAAGACACCAGAGACAGCTCTTCCAATGTTCGAAATTGTTGGAAAGGTAACTCTTATCGGATCTGGTGTGCACGACTTGGCTGTTGGCGATAAAGTGTTAACCCTAACATCGGCGAGCTCGGGACTCATGACAGCAATGCGGGTCTTAGAAAGTGACACTATCAGGATTCCTGCAAATATGGACCCAAAAAATGCGATATCAACTCCTCTAGCGTACATAAACGCTTATCAGATTCTCACCCAAGTTGGTCGCCTCAGTTCAAGTTCCTCGGTGCTTTTGGTCGGCTCAATCAGTCAAACTCTCCAGGCCATGATAGATTATGCCCTTGCCATGAACATGCAAGTCATCGTGGCAACTGATTCTGCAGATACCACCGAGAACCTTCGTTCTCGCTACCCAGTATTAGCGGATCGAATTCTCGGCGTTCACGGTAGCCTAGAAACAAGTGTGTCTAGGCTAACCAACGGATGTGGAGTTGACGCCAGCATTTGCTTCCTTGGCGGCTATGCGGGTCGGAATGCTGCTAGGTGTCTTGTCCCAGGTGGACAGTACATTAATCTATCTAGCGAGATGAAGATGAGTGCTCTTCCAGAGAGCTTCATTGACAGTGGCTGCACATTCTCTTCGCCGCGACTGCAGAAAATTTTCTCGGAGAAACCCGGCAATCTTCATGCTTCAGTACGGCATGTGGTTGACTTCATGAAGCAGCATAGGATGTTGGACCGCGTGGAGTCCTATTCTATGTTCCCCGTTTCTGATCTCCAAGGAGCTTTGAAACATTGCAAAGTGGCCAATACCCGAGCTATCGTGGATCTTCGGGCTCCTGGAAGGGTCCCTATTGTTCTGCCACTGCCAAATCTTACTGGCTTGCCAGCGGAAGGCACATATATACTAGCAGGTGGATTAGGAAACCTCGGCCTTGCGCTTGCCGATACCTTGGTGCAGTCCGGGGCCCGCCATTTGGTTTTCCTTGGAAGATCTGGCGGGGCACAACCTGGTCAACAGCTAGCCCTTGATCTCCTTCGCTCTCATGGGTGCCGCATAGATGTACTGCGCTGTGATATCGCCCAACAGGCAGATATTGACCACCTGTCATACAAGATTCGGAGTAAGAACTGGACCGTTGCAGGCGTGATTCAGTGTACAACAGTTCTGAAGGTTATTTACCCTCATTTCGTTCGTTTTCATTGACACTAGCTAATTCCTTCGTTTATTATCAGGACGCAATGTTCGAGAACATGACTTTTGATGATTGGACCCAATCCACACAGTCCAAGATCCGCGGGACACTGAACTTGCACCATCTATTTTCGGAATTTGAAGGCTTGGGTTTCTTCATTGCTTTGTCTTCCGTGGCCAGTGTCATTGGTAATATGGGACAGGCTAACTATTCTGCGGGCAATGGTTTCATTGACGCTCTCATGGAATGGCGACGCAGTCACGGTCTCCCAGGTCATTCTATCAATATTGGCCTCGTTCCAGATGCTAGTGGACTCAGCGACATTGCCGAAGATCAAGAGCAACGCCGCCGCCGATACAAACATCTTGAGGGTACAGAAATCATGACCCATGAGCTCCAGACCTTGCTCAGAGTGATCATTAACAGCAAGCTTTCTCTTCCATCTCAAATAATTGCTGGCATGACCGATCATCTGTCTCGCAGCAATGGCTCCATAGCCTGGGTTCTCGATCGAAAGTTTGATCACCGGCTTTGCCTTGCTGCCGATGACACTGAGGACTCTATTCAGACTAGCGCCTTACTCAAGGGGTGTGACTCCCTTGACAATGCAACTGAGGTTGTCCTTAACGCTCTGAGTGAATATCTAGCAGATGCAATGGCTACAACTGCCGATGCTATCGACTCAGATCTACCATTGTCCGCGTTGGGAGGTATGTCTTTTGATGATTTTTCCCCACTGTGACTTTTGTCTTGACTAACACTGGCTTCTAACTAGTTGATTCCCTGAAAGCTACAGCCGTTCAAAACTGGGTCTCTCGCGAACTGGGGTCAGAACTATCCTCCTTCGAGTTTCTTGGCTCACAACCGACCAAGGCGTTAGCGAGGAAAATTGCTTCTACTAGTTCGTTTGTCTCGGTGCCGAGCTGAAGGACTATCTGATAATCCATACTCGGTATGGATTAGCTCAGAACAACCTTTTCTTCACCCATCATGTTTCCTGTTTCAATCTCGGTTTATCAAATCTCATTTTTGGGTAGTTTCAATAGTTCAGTATATGTGTTTTTTACTTACAATACGTCGTTTCGCGTACGAAATATACGAAATATATGAAATTTTCCAATTTGCCAAGACCTGTAGCCCGTGCCGCAGGTGGGTCCCGTCAACAAACTCACATGTCATTCAATTTATCTTCATCCTTAGAGCAGCCTCGCATATTTTCTGGCGGATAGCTCCGCTGTGCAGATTGCAGGACCAATGCAGCATGTAATGGCCGGGGTGAGAGTCGCCATTGCAATATAGTGAGGGGGATCAAGCACGATAAACAGCTTCATCCACGAGTGGCTCCACTGAAGCCCATAGCCTTGACACATCGGGAACTGGATCGACACTTCGATCTGGATGATCTGGTTGATCAACAAAAAGACCGAGTTTTCGATCCCGTGGAGCGGGCTGGGGTGAAAATTTCTGCTGTGCAATCTCGCGAAGACCCCTGCCCTGAACGATGACAAGGAACGTGGACTCCGTTCGGAGTACGGAGTACCCGCGGACACGTTACCCTGTTAAGAAACGGTTGAGCTGTGCGGTCTTCCTTGCTGCTGCATGGATGGTATAATATGTGCATGTCACTTGGGAAGTAAGGCGATAACCCCACTTGCCTATGGAGTGAGTAACTGTGTAGCTTTTACAAGTTCCACCGTCCATTCCGATTTTTTAAGAGTTGATTTCGCTTTCGATGGTCTCGCAGATCTCAAATCTAGGTTCTATGCTAGCTCAAGAGAAAAACCCACCTCGATTATGTATATACACTATGGTTGTCCGGACGGTATCGGGATCTACCAAGCCGGCAGGTCGGCGTCTGTCCAGTTACATCGGCCGAGATACTCCGAATTCAATCAAAATTCAACACGACCCTAAATGGAAAGGCTTCGAAGCAACTACATTGAGGGGTAGTTTGTGGAGCTTGGGCTGGACCGTCCACGTTCCCACCGAGTCTAAGCAAGGCAAGCCACTATCGATATGCTACTCCGTACTTTGTACTCCATACAACATAGGGCATCTCCACACCGTGGAGCCTTTCATGGACCCAAGCAGGTCCATCAATATGTACTCTGCAAGGCCGGAACTGTATGGAGTGGGATTGCGCGGGTGACTTTCCTAGGAAGGTCGGACTAAAATTTGTAAGGCGTCTTCTAGTCTTGCACATGAAAAAAAGGAATAAATGGAATAAACACTCTGTTGTCGTCTTACAATCTCTCTCCCCCCTTCCTCTCTCTTTCATATCCCCATCCTTTCATCTTCAGCTATGACGGACGCTGAGAAGAACGATCTATGCATGCCGGTACCCCCGGCCAAGGCTATTGTCATAGATCATGACATGGCCATTACCCCAGATCCTGAAAAGTTTATTGGCAATTACTCTTCCAATGAGGTTCCATCCAATGGCCCCGATTCTCCCAATGTGGTTGACCTGGAGGCTCAGCCCACAGAGCCCCGACGAAAGCGGTTTGCGCACTTCAGATATGTCATGTTTACTGTGTATCGCCGGCTCTTCACTGTGGTATTTTGCGCAAATCTCGCTGTATTTCTCTACGTGATGATCTCTGATCGGAAGCTTTTGGCACTTGTGAATGCAACAGCTGTCAATTTGGTGGCGTGCGGTCTCGCTCGACACCCGATGATGGTCAACGCCATCTATAGAGTGGTGTGCTCGATTCCTCGAAAGGCACCTCTATCTTTGCGCCGCAGATGCGCTAAGGCAGCTCACTACGGTGGTGTTCACAGTGGCTGTGGGACTGCATCTCTGGTGTGGTACATTGGATTTGTTGCCATGGTGTCACAGATCTATTGGACAAATTCTCCCATCAGCACAGTAACAGATGCCAGTTTCTCGGCCGCACCGATCGCCGTCGCCTACGTCATTCTTGCCCTACTTGTTGTGATGGTAGTCGTGGCATACCCAACCTTCCGCAGGAGAATGCATGATTACTTCGAGCTCACCCACCGATTCACCTCATGGCTGATCCTGGCCCTTTTCGTGGCCTTAGTCATGTTATTCGCCCATGACGTGGGCAATGCAGAGCAGCAAACTCTTGGCTATACCCTCGTCACTCTTCCTGCATTTTGGCTGTTAATTGCGGCTGTCTTCGCCGTGGCCCATCCATGGCTATTATTACGGAGGGTTCCGGTAAAGGCCGAGCCCCTGTCTTCGCATGCTGTACGACTATCTTTTGACTTCACCCCGATCAACTTCGCAAAAGGTGTCCAAGTCTCAAAGCATCCTCTACGCGACTGGCACAGTTTTGCCGGATTTCCAGACCCCATTCCAACCGGTGAAAAGCCATTTGTTAAGGGCCACAGGCATAAGAGAAGCTGGTCGATCGTGGTGTCAAAAGCAGGTGATTGGACGGCGGATACCATTCGTGAACCGCCAACTCATCTCTGGAAACGCGGGGCACTGATGCGTGGTGTCGGATATGGTCTGCGTGTCTTCGACCGCATTATCATAGTCACCACGGGGTCCGGGATAGGACCTTGCCTTGGGTTCCTAGGCGACGAAAACCGGCCCTTGATCAAGGTCATTTGGCAGACACGTAACCCGGTCAAGACTTATGGCCAGGATGTCATTGATCTCGTCCATAAGATGGGCCCTGACCCGATTATCTTCGATACCAGTCGTGATGGCCGTGTTGACATGCTCCCTATCGTGCGACAGCAAGTGAAGGAATTCAAAGCGGAGGCAGTGTTTGTTATCAGCAACCCCAAAATGACTCAAGATATCGTTTACGAGTTTGAATCACAAGGGATTCCAGCCTACGGGCCAATTTTCGATTCATGATTCACGAAACACAATATATGTTGCCTTTTGATTTTATTCTAACCCAGTTATGATATACGTTTATGACCTACATTTCGGTATTTTTCGAGCTATGAGCCTTTCATCCATTTGTTTATACGAGTCAAGTCTAGCAATAAAAGTATTTCATATAATTATCAAACCCTAAGGAATCTCATGTGATGCCATGTCATCACATATTTACATGTGCACAGGGACGGAGCGCCTGATTTTGCAGGGTCGGTGCGTGAATACGCCTGAGCTCTGCTTTATCTTAGACTGACAGAAATCAAAATACCTGAATTACCATGACAAGGTCAGTTCAAACAATGAAGCTATTCCCGCCATACAAATTTCCTTATGTACCCATTTCTCGGCGTTGAAGCTATTCCTACCGTGCAAATTTCCGTATACAACTTCTCGGCGTTGAAGTTATTGTATAAACTTCCATATACACCCGTTTTATACGGTTGGGGTCGGTTATTAACGCCCAGCAAATGATTTGTATGGATTGTATGGTCTGTTTACAGTACATGGTATAGAGCGGTGTCGAAAGCGACGAATAATTCAGGCATAAGACCTGGAAAATCAGGCATTAGACCTTTGGCCGCTAACTAACTATGCCCCTTCGCATACACTATCCCAGTGGCAACGGATACAGACTTCACTCCTAGTCCTATCCAAAGCGGCATTGCCACTGCTTGTCAGGACTATATATTTCAGGTGAGATACGCCCACAACCATGGCGTGAGCCTTCCGCTAACAAATCACAGACTGATACATGCGACAGCATTGTGTCTGCAGAAGGCTTTTTGACGGACCATCAATTCGTTAAATGGAATCCCGTCTTTGGGACGTATTGTTCCGGTCTCGATAGAATGGGTCATAGTATAAATTCAAAGTAGCATAGGTCGTTTTGCCGATGAAGGGTCTAAGCCTTCGCACTTTCTACTCAGTAATCTGTCTTAAGATTTAGGCACAACAAATCAAGTCAATTCATCTCTTTAACCCTAGAAGCAGGTAGCTCTCCTATCATATCTCTTATTTCTTCCCTACAAACCAAACGCAAGGCATACAGGATACAATGATTGGTCACCCCACATAGTATCTGTAAGCTCCCACCTATCTTGACCAGGCTTTATTTGTTTGATTCTTTGGAAATAGTAATCCGGAACGCAAAGCTGCAGTCTTGTCCACTCTCGACCCTTTGATAGTCTGTCAAACGGCTTAAGGAACGTCCTCAGCCTCTCGTCGTCAAAGAAGATCTCGCCAATTTCGCTCGGTGGCATTTTAAGTTGTAGGCGTAGTCGATGTACACCACGGAAACTCTGCTCGAACAATCCGAAGAACGCGGCATATGTTCTCATCCAATCATCCTCGTCTGGCCCAGCTTTGCATATATTAACAGCAAACGAGATTTCCATAGACGTCATAAAAGAGGCACATCGCGGTGCCAAAATCCTTGATATGAGAAAAGGAGTATCCATAGCATTGTCCATCACAAAGTTATTTGTCCCATAGAGAACATCTAAAGCTTCTTCGTATCTGCACGATGATAAGCCATTGTCCTGATATTATGAGCATAGTGACTTACCCGATTTGGCAGCATCTCAACCACTCCCCGCCAATTGTCAGCCTTTGCGACTCAGGGTACCAATGTGAACAAGGGTCATCACAAGGGTCGTTGATGAAGTCATCACATTCCATACAGACACGATGCCACCAGTGCCAGCGAGGTCCTCCTCGTTTCGACTGCGGCCAAGATGGCAACGGCTCCATCCAGAAATATCGGATGTGCACTCGCCGACCACCCATAAGCTCAATGTATACCAACCTCCTTATCTCAGCCGGTAGAGGAAAGAAGGAACACTGCTGTTGAGAGCTGCGCTTTCGAGCACCAAGCTTACATAAGCCTTGTTCTGGCTGGATCGGCAGTTTCCATCGATTGAATATATCGCCATTGATCTCACAGGTGGAATCTGAGATTCCTATTGCGTTTGGGGAACAATCTCTCAATTTGAACTTGGACTCTTTTTTCCTGCGTTTGAAAAATTTGGTAAAAAGTTTTGGTGCCATGAGGGTGGAGGGTGGAGTCTAGGAGCGTAGGAGAGTCGGGGTGTTGATTTTATATGTGCTTGGGTGTGGGTGAATGTCACCAGTGCGTGGTAAAACAGAAGTACTACCGCAAAATAGGAGGGGAATTAACCCACAAAGGGTTGGGACCGGTGTTTTTACCTCACAAAGAATCAAAGATCCTTGCAAGCGGGGAACCGCCATTCCATAGGCCGGGATCTTCATCTTGCTCTTTCTCCTTTAGTTCACAGGCTTCCTCTTCTAGTCCTGATTTCCAATGGCAACGAGATAGCCCTCAATTGTGACAATAAGATTATTGTCGGAGGCATGTTTGGGACCAGTCTGATAACCAGCTCGATTTTGATGGTGTCAAATTGCCTAAACATTATGGAAATGCCAAACATCGAGACCAGAGTGATACTGAGACGAAAGAAACGAAAACGGGCGGCGGCCTCGACTCGTCATCGTGGAAGAGCTCGTGTTCGTTTTGAAGAACAACATGAATACACAAAGTGATGAATTAGGATCGGACAGAAAGAGGACCAATGCTAGATCAAAGAGATCCCCAGGAAGCTCAAAGAAAAGCCAATCGAAAGATGAAACGACCCGTAACCTGGAAGAGAAATTGCAATGGCTTAAGATGAACATTTGCTAGTAGCGCTACCGCACCTCAGGCAGAGGGGCATGTTGACATGCTACTGATCTTGAGTCCGGTAGGGATTAGGAATACTGAACGCTGTTAGTAGATTGGTTTGGATATACTTCTCGGTGATGCTGTACTAGCATGCCATTTGTATCACGAACATGTAGTTCGGAGAAACCGTTGACGAGTTTCGTGCGACGGACAAGTTTCTACCTTGTCATCATAATAGCCCGAATTGCGCTATTTCCGACGGCTAAGAAAAGGTTCATATTATCAAGTGATTCCTGGATTCGCTCTAACCCCACCCACTCACAGAAGATAGAAGAAGATCATGATCTAAGCACAGGAAAATATCAGTGTCTTTTCGCGAGAAGAATGATAATCGTGCCAGGCGCTAATCGAAACTCAAGGGCTATAAGAATTCAGTACATATTTCGAATGAGAGGAGCGTATGATATCTTATTTATTCCCACTCGTACGTCAAATTAGACTTCATCCTAGGTAGTATCCGAGATAACTGGGGGGAAAGACATCACTCCACTCGTCTTCACATCTTGTAATCTAAGACCCCTAAATCTTCCTCCTTTTTGAGGGCATTTTCCATCTTCGCATTTGTTCGCCCACGCGCTTGTCCTGATTCTCTGCTGTCGTCCTTGTGGTCGTTCTCTTTCTCCTATTTCTTCTTTCCCTCTGGCTCGTTTCCCGCAATTTTGTTCAGAAGGAGCTGACAATTTTGGACGAATAGGTGGTGATGCAATGGTGAAGATGACAGTAATGCACCAGCGCCACTTCGGTCGTTGCAATGTTGTACCCTGTCACCCTCCATCAATCCCCGATCATTTTTTATAGTTATTTCGCGCTTGAGTTTGACGTAAGCTAGGGGAACACTAGTTAGCTAACTTCTGGTCGCTCTGTCGCAGGAATTTGAGTCTGGTTCGATTTGGGATTCGAGACTGGCGTCATATTGGGTCCTAGCCGCTAGGTACTCAGGTAATCGTTGGGTTGAACGAGGCGGCGAGGTCAGGGCGAGGTCACATGGTCGAGTATCTTATCCATTATCATCATGTGATCATTGGATGACAAATCACACATGAAAGTGAATTGTCGTTCTTTGAAGCTACAATGTTGAATCATATCATGTGGTCGTACAGTGTACTGCATATGTCCATCATTGCATATTTCTATTATTGAATGTGGACCATTCCACTCATATCGCAGGTACGGCAGTCTCCCACCGCCAGTGCGCCATATCAGATGTTGCCTGTAGGGTTTGTTTTTAGGCACCCATGAGGCTAGCCAGGGCTTTTCCCAATCAAAACAAGATCATTGCGTACGAGATTTTTGGCAACGAATGAAGTGCTTTTCCAGGCATTAGCGGGGTACACCAGGTGGGAGGCAAAACCCGCCCAGTGGGTGTATATAAATTGGTAGATGTGCCCTTTTAAATGTCCATGATTCTACAAATAACATGCATTCAAGTCGACTAAGAAAACGCCATGCAGAGAGGTTGGAGACCATCCAGGACCTTGTCCCATCTCTACCTGCAGCCCCATTGACATCCCCGCTATTTACCGTCTTCCCCGCCGAGATCCGCAATCGCGTTTATACGTTCGCCCTTGAGTCCGAGGATGTTCTCACAGACGACAGTTCTCACTCCCTCTACAAGCAAAATGCTTTCTACTACCGACCCGGTTATAAGCAGCCCAAGCGCATCCAAACTGCCCTCCTCCAGACATGTCAGCAAATCTACGCTGAGGCGTCCCTCCTCCCACCGGCTGTAAATGAGCATACTTTCTGGTTTTATCGGTCTCCGCCGCATGTCAATGATGCGTCGTCACCGCTAAATTACTTTCGCAAGATGACCCCAAAACAGCGGGCTCAGGTGCAGCATCTGCACCTGTTCACCCAACAGTATTTCCTAGAGGACAACCATTGGTCTCAGATATGGGAGGGGTTGAAGATAGGCGACGACGGGCGCAGTTTGCGAGGGGAGTGCCGGATCGCCCCGAAGAAGATGACCATCACCTTTCGCCACACGGACTGGTGGTACTGGGAGAACAATGACCCCCTGGGCATCGATCCGTTCCGGCCCGGAAGAACACATGCAACCGATATGGGCAAGGCTGTTTCCCCGCACGACGCCGCTCGATCATGGGGGAACCAATTCAGCTCTATCCCCTGCCTTGAAGAATTGGTGATCGAGTTCGAGACCATCATGCGGAAGAGGGACCAGCTAGATGACATCATACAACAAGCTCTCGAGTGGAAATTTCCCATGGAGGCTGACAAGGGCTTATATCTGGTGGCTGACCCCAAGTCGAAGAGCGCATATACTTGGGCTGGGGCGAAAGAGGCGGAGCTGAAAAGACAGAGACCTGTACGACCGGTCGATGCTGAGGCTGAGTCAGAATCTGCCCACGAACAGGAGCCGGTTCCTGCAGCTCCGGCTTTGGTGCCGTATGATCCTCAGTCCGATTCAGGCACAAATAGCGACATTAATCTTGGAAACCATCCCCCATCTGACACAGATACGGAGAAGTTCTATGTCGTCTTCTTGACTTGGAGGAAACAGCGTGTCCTGGAGTGAGCTACTCATCCCAACCTCAGTATCACGAGGGATCTAGATTTTGTTCCTACAATTCTGACACAGACTACGATCCCACGAGGAATGTAAAATTGACACATTGTTAGATGGTTCATATAAATTTTCATACTTTCGCTTCATATATAAGGAATAACATCCTAGTGTCGTATATAGTAAAGTACTTCTAGCTTGCTGCACGAAGTACCCAACCTTTCAAGGTTAGAAGGTACAAATGAAGAGGATTGTTGCTCGCATCCCCCCCTGCCTGAATTTTCAGTGGTGCCATAAAGCAAACATCATGTCCCAGCAGTAATAACGACGCGAATTTGTATCACAGTCGATAAAAGAAGGTAATAAAGAAATATGTGAAAATACAAAGTGTGAAAATAGACGACACAGCTAGCACCTAAGGGTAAGTAAAGGTGACATACAAAATTTGACGTATGTAGAACACAAGGGGTTCTAATATGCGCCCCAGAGGGTGGTCTGATGTTTGCTTCATCAGAGATAATCCGGGGGAGGAACTGGAAGGATGAACTTCGGAAAATCGCGAGGAGAGAAAAGGAGATTTGAAAGAATCGGAGTAGAAATGTTTGCCCGTAGTCATCTGATGGCGCGTTTAGAAAGCCAAGACTGGATTTCAACAGCTTTATCCTAACGAAAGGACGTAGAGTAGTAGGGATGGCGCGATTATTGAAGGCAAGAAAGATGTCCTTATATATGAACTAGATAGAATAGATACGAAAAAATCAATTTAGCAAACAATCAAATCCTGGAATGGACCTGATTCACCAACTGCGCAACAGTGTCGACTATCTCATCCAGCAAAGACACAGCAAAGTCCGACCACGACTCAACAGTGACAACTTCGATGCACAAAGTATCCCCCTTGGGGAATGCTTGCACCTTGATTTCCCGCAACGGCTCGAAATGCGGGTAGATGGTCTGCATACGACTACTAGCCGCCATGAAAGACAAACCCTCAACATGCTCAACATCCTGGTGCACGACCGAATCAAACCAATCAACCGTCTCCGGCCAGTCGGTACAGTCTTTGATAATTTCCTTGAGACCGATTCCTTCGAATTGCGCGCTCTCGAGATGTTGACGCTGTACAAACCGCAAAAGATCCATGGCACTCCATCCATCTGCGAACTTCACCCGCACTGGCACATACTGCCATGATGGTCCAACAACCGCGTCAGCGTTGGGGAGGTCAATGTTGCGGCCACTCACCACCTCGCCAAAAGTGACATCATCAAGGGAGAGTCGTCGCGCGAGGCACAGCGCCCAAGCCGCTGTCGGTAGGGTTGCGACTGTGATTTCCCGTGGTCGCGCGGCTATATTGACATCCTTGGAGATGGCAAAATGAGCTGCAGACACTACAGGGATATCGGGTTGGATTCGTGTCATAGACGATCCTTGAAGGAGATCACGCCAGTACGGAATGCTGACTGGCAGATTAGTGCGAGTCACGTG